AGAACAAACTTTTGTGAAGTTAAAAGGTTGATGTTTTAAAGACTTCCTTATGTTGCTACTACCTACCACGCAAGGGAAAAAAAAATCGTACATTTAAATAATCCCCAAACCATGTAGTATTTTACAGGTTCTGTTCTTTCTTTCTTCCTTGAGTAAATCTGTACTTTTGACTAAAACCAACAATCTTCACAAAAGTCACCTAGTCCTTAATAGTGTTCTTTGTTACTGTGAATAGCACTACTATCTCTTCAAGTTGTACAAACCACAAACTCTTCCTTGTAAATAGTTATCAAAAACTGTCTGCTGTACTGACATGTTCATTTCTACCTTTCCTGGCCTGACCTTGGTCTAAATTAGCATTATCCAATGCCATATAGATAGTAGATAAAACAACTTTATCTGAGTGGACCACTACAACATATTCCTAATCTGGTCTCTCTACTTTCAGGGTGTTCTTGATAGTTTAAAACCCTTTAAGGCTGATGCTTCGGTCCATGCCAGAAGTCTTATGTGACCTGTTCCCTGCCTACTCCACAACGCTCAGAACGGGCCTCCCTCCTGTGTTCTCTTAGCCTCTGAGGCACTGAGTTACTTCAAAGCCTAATGTTTAATTCTTGCCTGGAGGCCTCCCTTAAACTTCCACATACATTCCTGTTTCAGATCAGGTCTTCCTAATGAGCTTTGGGAGCCTCAAAGGAAATTGCATAAGCCATTTTGAAATTTGTAAAACACAAATTGTAAGGAATGATTGATAAAACACCTATGCACTCTCCAGAGAGTCAAATCCAAAATGAACTAGGCTTGCAAGAGAAAAAAATAGGGGAACACAAGGACTTTTAAATAGGTTTCTGGCAAGAGCAAAGGTAAATAAGATAAAGTATTTAGTACCTTAAGCTTTATCTCCCTTCTGTCCCAACCTACCCCCAATAAAAAGAAGCTTGAAGGGTCTTCAAGATCTAAACTATGCATATGATGGAATTAAAATCTGAGATACTTAACTGATTTAAAGGAGTTGAGTTTGCCGAAGACTCCAAATCCAAATGAATAACATTATTGGTGTTGAAAGTACTTGCAGATAAGATTGTGGAAATGCTGGGGGGAAAACTGAAAGGTCCCAGAAGAATGGAAAAGCACAACTTTTCCAGTTTTCATAGTTTTAAAAAGTTATGTCCTAGAAACTACTAACATCACTTGACGTTATGAACAAAGTCATTAGAAACCAGCACAGTTACACTAAAGCACTATTTGTTTAGTAAACTATTTTGCTTATCTCTACAGTAGTTATGAGATATAAAACCTTTGACCTTAAGCCCTCTTTGTATAAACACAATTAGTTCAATAAGCCTTCTAAAGTGATAACAATGCAGTGCATATACAAAAGGAAATAGTTGAAATCAATCTTATTACAGGTTATTTTGACAGCACTGATGAACTGATTATAAAAATACATATTCCGCAGGTTATTTAGTAAGATTTTATGGTATTCTTGTCATTAATTCAACAAACCAATATTAAGTGCCATATGACATCAAGGGCAAAGAAATACAGTTCTTGCCTTGGCTGGTATGGTTCAGTGGATTGCGTGCCAGCCTGCAGACCAAAGGGTTGCTGGTTCGATTCCCAGTCTAGGGCACATGCCTGGGTTGTGGGTGGGTACCCAGTTGGGGGGTGTGCAAGAGGCAACCACACATTGATATTTCTCTCCCTCTCTTCTCTAAAAGCAAATAAAAAAAAAAGAAAAAATAGTTCTTGCCTTCAAAGTAAGTACGTTCTGCTGGGAGAGACAGTCAAGTTCTAACAATTACAGTGTGATATGTGAAGTACTATGATGGAAGGAAAGCAAAGGGTGGCTTGGGATCATCAAAGAGGGAGGGGATACTTCAATCTAATGAAGAACAGGGGAAGATTTCTTAGGAAGGGATCACTTTTACTTGAAAGATATATAGGAGTTACTACATAAAGAAGGAGAATTAAAGGCACTCCAGACAGGAGGAAAGGTTGGGAGAAGACCCATGAACACCATGAATGATTTGGGAAACAAGCAGCTGAAAATAACTAAAATGGAGGCACTGTGTTGGGGTTTGGCCAGAGTCCAGACTACAGAGTTAGCTATCAGACCACGAAAAACTGTCTTTTGATGTTACCTTGAGGAAAATCAACACTTCCCCAAGAAGGGAAGTGTTTTAGTAGTTGGGGTGATTTATTTATTTCTTATTTTTTACTGAATTTATAGGGTTGACATTGGTTGATAAAATAGTTGGGTTAATATCTTAACTGGTTAAAAGTTATAACTCAAAAGGCTTGATTGGTGGAGGCTATGTCAACCTGAAGGGATATCTCTAATGTTATACTATAGAGCCTTGGCTGGACCCTATTCTCTTGAACACTAATCCATAAAATCAATGAAGATATGATCTGTATAGCCAAAGCAGATAGCCAGTGTAAAAGAGAAGTTCAAAACATCTCAATAGGCTGAAACAAAGGAAGATATCTTACAAGATAAAAGAGGCACACCACAGAGGCTAATTACTTATAAAGAGTTCTGTTAAGAAAACGAGCTAGATGTCTCCCAAGATCCTTTCACCTAAAATTATGTGATTCTATTTCCAAAGAACATTGGCCCTCTTTTCAATACCTAGTTCTTCTAATTTCTTAAAGTTCATTTACTCAGCAATAATCTACATAAAAGCACCTAGTATTCCTGAAACATAGTAGGTAACATCATTTTTGTTTCTTATTTCCTTCCCCTAGTCTGATTGAAAAATAAAGTAGAAAAGAGTAAATCAAAGCAAGCCAGTCAGAGGAGAAAGCTTATCTCTCTAAGAAGGCATCTTCTGTTTCAACTTAAAGTATAGGGACTATATACACTACATGTTTAATCAAACCTAAGACACCAGCAACTGGAAGACATCATTACTTTATGTAGACTGCAAATAAAAAGTGCTACCAAGTACAATGTAGAACTATTGATTTTAAGGCATCCTCATTTCAGAGATGTCAGAATGTGAAAAAAGCCACCATAGAATCGATGAGCTGTATCTTTTGATGAAGAGAAATGGTAACAAGCCTCAGTGCTACATTGGTCTTTAAAGAAAGATTATTTCCTTAAACATTTTATAATCACACAAGGGTAAACCATACATACATAAGATATTCCACTGACAATCACAGGCTTTGTGGTTTACAGGCAATTAACTAAATGGGCTAATTTGTAACATTATGTACCATTCTAAAAGTTCCCGAATCTGCCTAATTAAATATGTGAGCTGCAAAGTCTTTGTAAGTGCATTGTAGTATAGTTAGGTAATCGGACTCAGAGGAAGCAGTTCTAAAACTCAAAAGTTCACGAGTAAGCCCTTTTTTCACTAGGGTGTCTGCATGTCTATATGACTGTCAAAATGATTTCATTGGCAAACATTACAACATAGCTTTGAAAAGACTTGCTGACTAAGTGGATATGAGGGGGAGAGGCTGGAATCTAGGATGACTTCCAGGTTTCTGGCTTGAGCAACTCTGGGGGTGGTATACTTAACTGATAAGAATTGAAAGAGAAGAAAAGAGGGGACTCGGAGAAAGGTTAACTGTCAGCACTCATTTCCATTACACTGTAGCTATCTCATTCATGCCGGACAGGATTTGCTGTTCTCTGTTGATCAAGATGGATCTGCATGTTGTTTCTCTGTTAACGATTTCAGGACCATAGACAATTAAGAGCTGGAAGAGATCTTAAAAATCAGTTCACATCCACCTTCTCCTCTACTCATCCTCCAAATCAGTGTTTGGATTCCCTTCATACTCTTCCTGTGAAATAAGTGTCCAGGGAGATTAAATTGTTTAACCTCTCTCAATCTCAATTTCCATGATTTGAAAAATGTAGATTATTATCTATCTCAGAGAATTAAATCAGATGATATAAAGCACTAGTGCCTAGCAAGTGTTCGGTAAGTCCTTAATAAACATCAGCTTAAAAATAATATTGTACAGTTGTGAAATCAATTTGTGTGTGGTGTCTAGCAACTTAGAATACATAACATGTAGTATGTACATGATTTCATAAGATGTCTGTTTCCATTTAAATGTGGGTATACATACATATGTGTGTTCTGAGGTACAATTTGAAATGTATTACTGTGGGTCAGGTGGAAAAAAGTCTGAGAAATGCTACAACCCACATTCGTTCTTTTCTTCCTTTGCTAATTTTTTTCATGTGAAAGCAGGCCTTATTTTTAAAGAGATCATCCCTTTAAAGAGATCAAATCCTTGGAAACTGTAAAGTATGAAACACTGTCAAATATTTTTGTTTCCAGCTCCTAGCACAATGTTTTGTAAATAGGTGCTCAATACACTACGATTGAACCAGGTACTAGGAAAAGTATGAATAATATAGGAAGTAGTGCTTCTTAATCTTTTCTGGGTGATCAGACTCCTTTGAGGAGTTGACAGTTTTGGACCTTCTTTCCAGAAGACCTGCCAAGCAATCAAAATTTCTGCAGATGCAGAGAATTCCTGAAACTCCATCCGTCGCGCTCTAAGGATCTATAGACTCTTAACTTAAGAAACCTGAAATGAAGACCTTTAACTACAGTGTGTGAGGCCGAGAACAGAAGGCTCAGGATTAGATTACTTTTTAAGTTCTCCTACAAATCCTAGGATTCTAGAACTTCGATGCAGGGAAGGCTTAGGCAGAGATGGAAAAAAGGGTACAGTCTGTTCCGGTCAAAGAATAATGGGGACAACTTTAACACTTCTTTTACCTACGTTAAGTAATTTAATGCCATGATAATACTATAACGCGAAGCTGCAGCTCGAACGGGCTTAAAGACAAAACGGGTAGGATCTGGAAAACCTACTCCTAACACCAACTTTGAAAAACACACTTCGGAGGTGAAAGTAGGCGAGGCAAACAGCGGGGGAGGAAGGGGCGGGGCGGCGCACGCGCACAGTTGCATCAGTGTCGTCGTCCCTGGGTTTCCTCTCGCAGCCACTCTTCCTTTCAATCCAGTACGGTGGCCGACGGGAGCCAGACGCTGGGGATGAATGAAGGTGCTGGGTGCAGGTTGAACCAGTCTCCTCCGCTTTCTGCTCCCTTCAGTCTGGGTTCTGCCCTTGTGCGGTGTCCCCGTTCAGCCCCCATCGCACCGCTGACCCGATTGGTCCCGGCGTCAGGCCTCTTGGTGCCCGGGTCAACTCGGGGCACAGCTAGGGTCTGGGAATCCAGGTTATCGGCTAGGCCCAATTTCGGACCGCGCTGTCGATTTCTACCGCGCCCCGCCTCTAGGACGCGGAATCCGGGTGGGGTCCCGGGAGGTTGGAGGGTAGATCTTAAGGTATGACGCTTCCGCTTCTCAGGCCTCAGCGCGTTCCCCGGTCCCGGTCTGCACCCTGCCTGATTTTTCTCAGCCAGAGGGACTGGTTGGTTCTTGTAACACCAGGGGCGAGACCTATGAGTGCACAGGGCACCTCTGCTCCATCAGCCCGCCCCTCTGTTAAAAGACCAACTCCTCTTGCCTAAAAGTAAAGCGGCGTTTCTGCCCAGACTGTTACCTTGTACCCATGAATGGCATTGGCTTACTGGCCCCTGTCTTTTTTTTTTTTTTTTCCTTTTCCTCTTTACTGCTGAGGACAGAGAAGTGCCCAAGTGGGACTCATCATTTTCCCATAGCAGCATTCCCGCCCCCGCCCCCGGCCCCCTCCTAGAGTTCATAGGGTAGTGTCAAGGCCTCCAGAGTTCTGAATCTGCCATTGCTTTTGGCTGCAGAGAAGGTTTACCAGTGCCAACTCTTGGAAGGTGGAAAGAGAAGCCTACCATTCTTTACATAGGTTGGGTAGGCATGTGAAACTAAAGAGGTGCAGAAGAGGAGCATTCTTAACTATGCCACTCATTTATTTTTATTTTAATTTGTGGCACTCATGCGACTGGTGTAATGGAGAAAGCCTTGGACTGGGATATAGTAGATGAGGATTCAGCCTTGGCTTTTGCTTCTAACTAGTAGTATTTCCATGGACTTGTTGCTTAATCTCTCTGCTTCATATTTTTTTTTGCAAAGTAATATTAGAACAGAAGGTCCCTAAGGCTGGAAGAGACATTAATATATTATTGTCTTTCTCATTTTCCAGATAGCAGTAGAGACACAGGGAACCTTTAATTATGCCAGGAACCCATTGTCAAATAGGGGCTTCTTACAGATAGACCACATTTTCCAGGGTATTTAAAAAGAGGGGTGTTCACATGTGGGAGTTATACCCCTACTTTTACTTATTTTTATCATTAGGATCAACAGTAATAATGACTGAATGTACAAGCCTCCAGTTTGTAAGTCCTTTTGCTTTTGAGGCAATGCAGAAGGTGGATGTTGTTCGTTTGGCATCTTTAAGTGATCCAGAATTAAGACTTCTCCTGCCCTGCTTGGTGCGGATGGCACTCTGTGCTCCTGCTGACCAGAGCCAAAGCTGGGCCCAGGATAAAAAACTCATCCTCCGCCTTCTCTCTGGAGTGGAAGCTGTCAACTCCATTGTTGCATTGTTGTCTGTGGATTTTCATGCCTTGGAGCAGGATGCCAGCAAAGAACAGCAGCTTAGGTAATATGATATTATACAATATGTGGATTGGATATTTATGTGGATTTGCCAAAGAAGAAGGAGTCAAATATTCTTTGGAGCTTTTGGGGCTTTTTATTGGATGTGCTCCTCCAAAAAAGAGAACATTGAGAGTCTAAACTTTGGAGAGCATTTTACTTAGTTTTTTTCTATTTATAGTTAAAATTCTTTTGAATTCCATATTATAAAATGTTGCATAGAGAAGTTTGACTATATATATACTATTGTATTCAGGCTAGACTGACTATGCCAGTTGCTCTTGGTGGGAACTGGGTAGAGTAAGTTCCCCTCCAGCAGAAGGATTTATTGGAATCAGCTGGGAAGTTTTTTGGTTTTGTTTTTTTTTTAAAGCTTACATTGATTGCCCCAAATTCTGGGCAGATGTTTTGTTCTTTGCTCATTGTGAATCCAGTAGTGAGCCATTATTGTTAATGGAAGTGGGTGTTAAGTATCATCAATGATGGAGTCTTTACATGGGTTGTGAATTCTTGAAAGAGATAGACAAACTAAACAGTATTTTGGAAGTAATAAATTCATGAAATGTATGAAAAGAATTCGTACATTCTTTTGTAGATTATTTTAATAAAAGGTAACTTTTCTGCTATTATTTCTATACCACTGTTCTGTTAATTGTTGTTCTGCACATTTGCACTTTATTAGGCATAAACTCGGAGGAGGCACTGGGGAGAGCGTCCTGGTGTCGCAGCTTCAGCATGGTCTGACATTAGAGTTTGAACACAGCGACTCACCCCGCCGATTGCGTCTTGTGCTTAGTGAGCTCTTGGCAATTATGAACAAGGTACATTTATTTTAATCACAGCTCAAAATATGCATGATTTAATGTCTACATGTAGAAGGTAGAAAAAAACAAGAAAGCAGACAGCTCTTCTACACATATTTCTGTTTGCTATGTAAGTGTTTTCCTTTCAAAGCCTTGAAAAGATCAATGACTGCCTTAATGGCTTGCTTTCTCTTATTGCGGTTTTCTTTCATTTATGCCTATTCTGTATTCTCCATCATAGGAATTTTTTCTCTATGGAGTTCATACAGTGGGTTCTTGATAGATGAGATTACCAAATTTGATAATATTTCTAAAAGATTCAATTCCCCCCATAAAATGTTGTGATGTATAACTAAAAAATGTATACAGTTCCTTCAGACACTGAATGAGCACTAATTATCTCTTACATAACGGTGAATAGGGAATATCAAAGCTGTATTGATGTAGGATCATTGGCTAGCCTCATTCACTAGATGACTGAATTGTTCTGTACAGTAACGAAGGCTGTTCAACCTCTCATTTCAACAAAATGATATATTATTTTAGGTCATGGACTTTTGATAAAATTATGGTTAATTGAAACACTGAATTTTAAATTTGTCAATGTCCGGGATCTACCATGCAAAGAACTAAATTGGCTCTTCATATTAAGATGGCTTAAATGAGATGAGGCCCAGAGTTTTGGAGGAAAAGTTATTTTTGCCCTGCCTGGTGAGGCTCAGTGGATTGCGAACCAAAGGACTGCCAGTTCAATTCCCAGTCAGGACACATGCCTGGTTGCAGGCTGGGTGTCCAGGTGGGGGTGCGTGAGAGGCAACCAATGGATGTATCTCTCACACATTGATGTTTCTCTCCCTCCCTTTCTCCTTCCCTTCCCCTCTCTCCGAAAATAAATAAATAATTTAAAAAAAAAGTTATTTACTGTTAGAATTTCAGGGTCAATTAATTTATAATAAATAAAGTTTAGTTTTATAAATTGTGAAGTAAAAAACCCTAGATTCTGGTTTCAAATAAAATACTTTGTAAGGGGTGGGGGGTGGTGTTCACCAGTTTTAGATAGTTTTTAAGGTAGCTTACACATATTTAAAAAATTTCTTTGTATTACTATTATTTTCTTCTACTCTTTTATACTATACTGAAAGTCTTTAATTTCAACCAATTTTTTTTTCCACATCTTTTTCTTTATACCTCACTGATTGCTCTAATAAAATAAGAGACCTTTCTTTTATGGAAGTTCCCAACTTTTCAGTTCAGTACTCTTTAGTATATGGGAAATGTGATGAAACTACAGTAGGAAATTTTCAAAAAGGTTAGTACTTTTGTTAACTTTTCTGTTTTGTTTTTCTCACAGTTTATTTGGAATTGAACATGAATTTATATTTGTTATACTGCTTTAAGTTTACAGATTTTTTGCTTTTTTCAGCTAAAACTTAATATAGGCAGCATTTCTAGTCTGTTTCTTTGGTTTGCCTTCTCTTTAATTCCAGATGTTTCCAAATGTTTATATAGACATAAATTGTAGAGACCCATACTGCCATGTCTGAATAGTAATGAATGTGACTGCTAATTGGTTAAATCGGTTCAAATTTATGGAATACAGTATATTCTGATGCAGTAAATATATATATGTATATTTTAAATTAAAAAAATTATTAATTGACCTTTTTTTTTTTGAGAGAGAGAGAGACATCGATTTGTTGTCCCACTTATTTATGCATTCATTGGTTGATTCTTGTATGTGCCCCGACCTGGGATCTCACCTGCAACGTTGGTGTATTGGGATGATGCTCTAACCAACTGAGCTACCCAGGCAGGGCCTGATGCAATATACAAGTATTCGTGACATGTTAAGAGACCTGGTGTGTAAGCTCAACAAATAATTGTAAGATTAGTATGGGATTTAATTAATTACCTGAATTTAATAGTTCATCTTTTCTTTCTGATGACAGGTGTCTGAATCCAGTGGAGAATTTTTTATCAAGTCATCTGAGCTGTTTGAGAGTCCAGTCTATTTAGAGGAAGCTGCAGATGTACTTTGCATTTTACAAGCAGGTACTGTAGTGAGTGCTAAGATACATTTCAGATACTGTTTTTTCTGTTAAATGATACTGTATAACTTCTTAACCTGGAATGTACCTTAAAAGGTTAAGTCAAAAATGACTAATAGTTGGATAATGATTAAGTAAATTATATCCCATAGTATGGAATATTATACAGCCAAAAAGTGGTGTAGTTGAAGAAATTTGATTTTGGAAAATGTTCACAATATGTTAAAATGAAAGCAAAGCAAAGAGGAAAATGGTTCATAGGGTATAATTCCACTTTACTATTGTTAAAAGTTAAAATATTTCAGATTATTAACTGAGTGATGTGATTAGAGCTAGTTTTATAATAGGTATGTATCATCAGGTTTAAAGATAGACAGTAGGTGGGCTTGGTGGCAGCTCTCCTGTCATCCCCGGTCCTGGGGAGGCTGAGGCCAGCGGATCGTGGGTCCCTGAGGGTTCAGAAATACAGCTCTGGGTAGAGCAGTCATCCGCACTGGGTCTGGCACCAGTGTGGGGCTTCTGGGGCATTCCGAGGGTACCTTATTGTTTAAGGAGTGGGGACCCAGCCCAGGCGCACATGGAGCAGGTCACATTCCCTGTGCTGGGCGGTGGTGGGACCACAGATGTGAGTGATGCCACAAGCTCCGCCTGGGCACCTGAAGAGTTCTGGTCTCTTTCCTTTAACTTCCCTCTTCAAGATTTTATTTTTAAAAGTTGTTATTCCCCAGCATTATTTTTGCATACAGTGGGCTACCAGACTTCACTGGGGGGCAGTGTACATACTACTGTTAAAAAAAAAGATATGGGACATAAAAATGTAAAGAAGGTTTTAATGAAAATCACTCTTTGACTGCACTGCAGCGATGACAGTGTTCTCTGCTGTGCTAATACAGCAGCCACTAGCCGCATGCTGTTGTAGGTTACTTGAAATGTGGCTAATTTGACTGAGGAACTAAACTCTTTTAAAATTTAATTTAAATTTAAATAGCCACATATGTTTGGTGGATGCTTTACTGGACAGTTCAGCTCTAGACTATGAAAATAAAATGCCTTAATTGCGTTTAAGTGTCATCAGTGAAATATCAAGATGTTTAATGTAAAATACAATGAAATATCATTCCTAAGTAGTAACCTTGACTTTGTTTTCTCATAGAGCTCCCTTCCCTGCTTCCTATAGTTGATGTAGCTGAAGCCTTGCTGCATGTTAGAAATGGTGCCTGGTTCTTGTGTCTATTGGTGGCCAATGTTCCTGATAGTTTCAATGAAGGTAAATATAATTTAAAAATGAGATATTGAAGAGATTAACTTGAGTATGTATGGACCTATTTTTGAGCTAGTAAGAAATATATATGGGGTTGTATTTGGTATTTTGTCTTTTGGAAGTTCATTAGTGAATACTAATTGTAGAAATGTTGAGTTTAGAGATTTCAAAATTGTTTTGAGATTAATAATTTAAGTACAGTGAGTATGTAGCACAAAATTTTTTTGCCATTAGTCACCAGTTGCTGTAATAGGACAGCAAAAAATACCAAAGTACTAAAAGATATAATTCCTATGTTCAAGGAGCAAAGGAGAGAGAAGACATGTATCTGTGAAATAGCCAGAGAGCAGTCAATGCAAGGTGTATGTAGTTAGAAATGCCAGCAATTAGACCTTTGTTTTTTAGCCTTGTTGCTGTTAGTTTAGTTAGTTAGTTAGTTTAGCCTTGTTGCTGCTAGTGATTAAAAATTTTTATGTGGGTCTGAGTGATATAAAAATAAAAGCATTTATTGAGCAAGGTAATTTGCGAATTGAGAGCCAAGGAGGAAAAAGCACTGGATTTGGGGGGGTTGTAATTTCTCGATTTGTCACTTATTATTTGTGTGATTTCCCTAAAGATATTTAACTTCTGTAAAATGGAGATATTGATAATATTCTAAAAGGTTTATTGTGTATCACATGATATGTAAAAGCCCTTTGGAAGCTGTGTCCTTGCTGATTTTCTGTGTGCTTGTTCTATCAGTTACCGAGGGAAGGGTGTCAATGTCTACAGACATTTGTGGATTTGTGTGTTTCTCCTTTCAGTTTGTCAATTTTGCTTCATGTATTTTGAAGCTGTTACTGGGTTCATGTACATTTAGGATTGCTATATCTTTTTGGTGAATTGAGCCTTTTTCTTTTTCATTATGAAATGTCCTTCTTTATCCCTGGGAATAGGCCTTTTTTTAAAAAAAAAAAAGTCTGTGTTATCTGATTAACACAGCTATATCAGCTTTCTTTCACTTAGTATTTGCATGGTATGTAGGTTTTTCCATTAAATTTTTAAAAAAATCTGTTTCTTAATATTTAAAGTGGGTTTTTTATTGATGGGTTTTTTATAGACAGGTAGGTCTTTTAAAAACTCAGTGACAGTCTGCCTTTTTAATTGGCCTATTGAGATTACTTACATAAATTATTTAATGTGATTATTGTGGTGGTTAGATTTAAGTCTGTCATCTTGCTGTTTCTTTTTTTTTTTTTTATCCCTTTCTCTTTTCTTTTCCCTTTATTTGGATTGAAACTTTTTACGATTGCATTTTTATCTCGCTGCTGTCTTATTAGCTATACTTTATTTCATTGTTTTCTTAGCATTTATTTATTTATGTTTGTGGGGTTTATAGTATTCATCTTTAAGTTATGGCAGTCGACTTTCTAATGATTTTATACCTTTTCACATATAATGTACTATACTTCTATTTATCCCTCCTGCCCTTTGTGCCATTGTTGTTATAGATTTTACTTATACCTGTGAAATAAAATTCATTTTTATAAAACGTGTATAAAAATGAGTATAAAAATTCACTTTTATATAGTTTATAAAATATATTCATTTTATATATTTAAATATAAATTTATTTTATAAACTATATAAAATACATGTTTATATATTTATAAAATATATATAAAATTGAGTATAAAAGTATGTTTTTACTACTTTTGCTTTCAAGAATTAATTATATCTTAAAGACTTTAAAAACACAAGAGAAAAAAGTCTTTTTCTTTATCTATGTTTACCATTTTTTGGTGCTCTTCATTTCATTTTTTAGTTCCACATTTCTATCTGGTATAATTTTCCTTCATCTTGAAAAACTTCTAAAAAATATGTCTTATAGTTTAGGTTTGCTGGTGACACATTTCCCCAGGTTTTTTTTTTTTTTTTTTTTAAATTTTATTTATTCACTTTTAGAGAGAGGGGAAGAGAGTGAGAAAGAAAGGGAGAGAAACATCGATGTGTGAAAGATACATTTATCGGCTGCCTCTCGCACAAACCCAGCTGGGGACCTGGCCTGAAACCCAGGCATGTGCCCTGACTGAGAATCTAACTGGCGTTGTTTAGGTGTGTAGGCTGGTGCTCAGTCCACTGAGCCACACCAGCGAGGGCATATTTTTATCTGGGAAAAAAAAACAAACAAACCCAAAACTCATTTTGCCTTCATTTTTCAAAGATATTTTCATTGGGTATAACATTTTAGGTTGACATTTTCTTTTAGCTCTTTCAAGATGTCATTCTATTCTGTGGTAATGTAATCTCTGTTCCTCTGTATATAGTGTTTCTTTTCTTTTGTTATAGATACTTTGTTTATTTTTTTATTTCTTCTGGCTACTTTTAAGATTTTTCTCTTTATCACTAGAGTTTTTTGAGTGCTTGGTTTATAGTTTTCATACAAATTTGGAAAAATACATTTTTGTCTTCCATTCTTCTTCTCTTTTTTGGGCCTCTAATTACTAGTATGTTTGACTACTTGATATTGTCCCACAGGTCTCTGTGCATTTTTTAAGTCTCTTTTCACTCTTCGCTTAATTTTGACCAGTTTGTATTGCTATGCTTTAAAGTTTCCTAATCCTTTTTTTCTCTAGTGTCTAATCTGCATAAACGATTGATTCTCAAGGCTGAAAAATTTTTGTCTAACATTTTACTTACAAAGCTTAAAGTTATAGAGTCCATTCACTATTCAGTTTGTAGGGGCCTGATCAAAAATGGAGAACGACAAGATGAAGAAAGCCTTGGAGGAAGGCGCAGGACAGATGCCTTACGCTTCTTATGTAAAATGAATCCTTCTCAGGCCCTCAAAGTCCGAGGCATGGTGGTAAGAGATCTTATCTTATTTTTATGAGACAAAGGGCTTTATAATAGGACAAGGAACTTTTCTCAAGAGGGTTTTAGAGTGTTGTAGAAAATTGTAACTGTATGTACTGGATGTATTATTTTCCTCTCTTGGTTTTCATGTTTCGTGATACATCTTTCTCTAAACGTTGAAGGACTTTAGATTCTGAAGCATCCTGGCCCTTTTCCTTATGATACTGAGTTTAATTTGTTTTCTTTACTGTGTTAGGTGGAAGAATGTCACTTGCCAGGCCTTGGAGTAGCTTTGACATTGGATCATACTAAAAATGAACTTAGCGAAGATGGAGTGAGTGACTTGGTTTGTTTTGTTAGTGGTTTGCTTCTTGGAACAAATGCGAAAGTCCGGACTTGGTTTGGAACTTTTATCCGAAATGGACAGCAGGTGAGGGATAAATATCTCTATAGGCTAATAAGGATCAGGATATTTTGGCTATCTGTAAAATAGGAAGAAACACTTTTAGAATCGTGTCATTAGACCAGTGGTTCTTAAAATTTTTAGCCTCAGGACCCTACTAACATTTAAAAAAATCATTGAGAATACCAAAGATTTTTGTTTATGTGCTTTTATCTATTGATATTTATATTAGAAATGAAAACTGAAATAGTTGAAATATTTATTTATAAATAATAGTACTATTACATGTGAACCTAATATTTTTAATGAAAAATAGCCATATATATTTTTTAACTCCTCACACGAGGACATTTTTTTTTTTATTGCTTTAAGAGAGAGAGAATCATTGGCAGGTTGCTACCTGAACCAGGGATCAAACCCACATACTAGGTATGTGCCCTGACTGGGAATCAAACCTGTAATCTTTTGGTTACGGGATGATGCTCCAACGAATGGAACCACACCAGCCAGGGCAGCCATATTTTCTAAAGTAAAAAAAAAATTCAGTGAGAACAGTGGTGGTGGTTTACATTTTTGCATATCTCTTTAATGTCTGGTTTAAGAGCCTTTGGACTGCACTGTACCCTTGTGAGAAAACAATAGTAAAAAAGGCTGATAATGTCTTAGTATTATTAAGGACTTATTTTGATCTTCTGGACCCCCTGAAAGTGTTTAGGAATCTTTAGGGTTCTAGGTAAGACTCATGCAAACTGCTGCATGAGGTCATCAAATAAGTTCCATATCCAAGTTTTGCTTTATTTCTAGCCTGTTTGAAAACTAATTTTAAGCTTTGCTTTTAAAAAGGAAGTTAACATTTATTGTATATCCTCTATATGTTAGGCACCGTGCTAAGCACTTGGTATGCTCATCTTCTAATTGTCCTTTGTGTGCAATAAACTTTCCTTATTTGAGCTTAATGTTATTACTAAAGCAGGTTTATCATATTTTACTTGGAAACACTCTAAAAAGAATAGCTAACATTCGCCTAGTCCATTACAGTTTGATCTGCTTTTATATGTATTATCTGTTTGTTTATTCATTCACCTATTTAACAGATGTTGAGTGCTTGCTGTATGTCAGGTGCAATGATAGGTCCTGCCTAGAGATGACTAAGACATTACCCCTGCCCAAAAACCTCTGGAGGTGATAGACTTACACATCCCTAACTTACAACAGCCCTGAGAGTGAAATATCATTAATAAAATACTCTTTTCCTTGTCATTAGGAAGCTGGTGTTCAGAGAGGTTAAGAAATGAATCTAACAGTACTTAATAGCAGAGCTGTTGTTCAAATCCAGGATCTTGTGTCTCCAAAATATGATTACTATCTTCTATACCACATGACTCCATTAGTCATTATGTACTTGAAAGTACCATTAAATGATATTTTACAACTCAAATTGTTATATTGTTAACTTAGTATTTTCTATACAACCTATCCAAATTAGGGTGAGTAGAGTATTCTTAAGATGAACCATTGAATTTTGAGTTTCCTTGATTGGTTAAAATGAGATTCTGCAGCTATGACAGCCTCCTTAAAGGGGTCAATTTCAAGGGTTTAACTGGGGAGCTTTATTTGAGCTTCCTTTTGACTAAGTGCTCCAAGCTTTCTCCTTTTTTGTGGTACACGTTTCTTACAGAGAAAAAGGGAGACCAGTAGTTCTGTCCTTTGGCAAATGAGAAGGCAGCTTCTTCTGGAGTTGATGGGCATTCTTCCCACAGTAAGAAGTACCCGCGCTGTGGAAGAAGCTGATGTGGAGATGGAGCCTAACGTGTCTGTGTACTCGGGGCTGAAAGAAGAGCACGTTGTGAAAGCCAGTGCGCTCTTACGTCTGTACTGTGCTTTGATGGGGATCGCTGGACTCAAGTATTCACAAATTTGATATTTTACCTTTTTGTCATTTTGCCTTCTTGTTTCTAATCCCAAAGGCCTTTTATTCTGAGGGTTTGGGTTTTCTGTTTTGCTAAGTGGCCTGGCCTGTGTCAATAATGAAGACCTAAGGCAAAACATCCCTTGCTGGGATGTTTCTGTCTGTTTGGTCTGATTGTAAATATGGGATGGGCCAAAGCAGTTTAAGAAACCTATGACTTCACCACAGCTTGACATGTGTATAATGAATGATCTGTGAGTGATTCTTTAGTTCATGGAGCTAGTTGAAGTAAATCTCTCCTATGTTTCCTATTACAACTAAGATCATAAACTGTTTAAAATTGATATGATGTGATTATTAAGCACAATGTTTTTTATTTAGTCAATACACTATATCCTTTTCAGTAACGTCCTCATCTCTTTTACACAGTCTACGCTTTGTATGTCTTTGATACATAAGAATTTCAGTTACCAGTGTTTGGTTGTATATCACCACTCCCTCAACAACTAATACCATGATACATGAGGCACATCACTGTGTAAACTACCAACTTCGCTGAGAGCTCTTTAAGCCACATATCACTGTGTAAAGAACATACACATCATGATCAGTGGCCATTGCATTGTTTTTTTTTAAAGCCTGTCAGCAATTGGTCACCATATATCTGTTACTCAGCTTATGAACAGACAGCAGGGTAGGTCGTTTTATTGTCTCCTTATCGGTGATTAATCCATGTGGGTAACGGAAGGAGGGAATGAGCCAGTAAAGATGAAAGTGAAGCGGAGAAACAAAAAGCAGTAGTGGTGGGAGTAGCACATAGCAAATATAACAGAAGAAATAGCTGACTTGTGAGGAGATGACACTGCTGCTGCTCGAGAGACCCTAGATATGTAACCAGATGAGCTTAGTGAAGGAGAGCTTGTCAGCATAAATGAGGAATGTCATTGTGACAAAGAGGATGAAGTTTCAGAGGAAGTGATGCTGGCCCAAATCTTCACATGAAAGGAGCTCTCAGCTGGTTCATGACTGAAGCAGAAACGATAAAATGTTGGAAGCTGATCCAGACTTAGAAGAGAGTATGACAGTTCATCAAGGCTTAGAAAAGACATTCACTCTGTATTGGTAAAGGCTGTTTAAACTACTGTTGATAGGTTTTGTCTGTCTGTTTTTTAAACAAAGGAAGCACTTTAATTCCTAATGCGTCTAATATTTTCAATGATAAGAGTGCTATATACATATTAGTTGTACTGTTTTTTTAATTTCCCCAGGCATTATAACTGACAAAGAATTTTTAATGTTTTGACAAAAAAATTTAAAGGCCATCGAACAGTTGAAATATTCCCCAGTGATAATATTAAGATGATGATGCAGAGTGTGAGCTTGTGTGCTTATTTTTATGCTTCCACACTGTCGTGCAAAGTGAGCACTGGCTGTATTTGTGTCTGAGGAAGAACATTGGTTGTAAACTCAACAGTTTTACTTTGACAACTTAAGAAGTTAAAGATTTTATAATAGTGAGATATTACTACAAAGCTCAAAATTTGTATCTGAATGGTTAACCTGTTGGGGAGTCCCTTTTTCTTTTCCTTTCCTCAAGGGAAAAAAGTAACGTGTAGTAATGTATTCCTTCTTTAGACCAACGGAGGAAGAAGCTGAGCAATTGCTGCAGCTGATGACAAGCCGCCCTCCTGCGACGCCGGCTGGGGTCCGCTTTGTTTCGCTTTCCTTTTGTATGCTGCTGGCCTTTTCCACACTTGTCAGGTACTTCATAAGTTGCTTTATTTTATCAAGGTCTGCTTTTGTTTATTTTTTAATTTTTACAAATTTCAGTTACAGGTGACATTAAATATTGTATTAGTTGCAGGTGTATAGCATAGTGCTTAGACATTTTTATAACTTACATTGATCCCCCCAGAAGTCTTGTACCCACCTGACACTGCATGTAGTTATTACAGTATTATTAACTACATTCCCTATGCTGTGCTTTACATTCCCATAACTGATTTGTAACTGTCAATTTGTACTTCCTAATCCCTTCACCTTTTTTACCATCTGGCAACCATCAGTTTGTTCTCTGCATCTATGAGTTTGCTTCTGTCTTGCGTGCCCATTTATTTTGTTTATTAGATCCCTCATATAAGTAAAATCATATGGTATTTGTCTTTCTCTGTCTGACCCGTTTTACTTAGCACAATACCCTCTAGATTCATCCATGTTGTTGTAAACGGTAAGACTTCATTCTTTTTTATGGCCAAGTGGTATTCCATTGTATATATGTACCACTTCTTTTTCCATTTGTGTTTTGATTGGAGCATTTAATACATTTACATTTAATGTAATTATTGATGGGTATGCAGTTATTGCCATTTTATTGATTGTGTTTTTAGAGTTTTCTGTTCCTTTCTTACTCACTTGCTCTCTTCTTTTGTGTGCTGTTAACTCTGTGCTGTTGCATTTGGATTTCTTTCTCTTCTTGTATATCTCTTGAATATTTTTGGTTTGTGGTTACAGTGTGCTTCATTTTGGGGTGAGAGAGGGAGAGAGGAAGGGGGTGAGAGAGAAAGGGGGGGGGAGAGAGAGAGAGAGAGAGAGAAACAGCTGTTTGTTATTCCACTTATTTATGCATTCATTGGTGCCCTGCCATACCTGCAACCTTGTCCTATTGGGGCGGTGCTCTAACTAACTGCACTGCCCACCTAGGGCTTATTTTTTTTAACAGTCAGCTTTTCCCTGGCTGGTGTGGCTCAGTGGATTGAGTGCCAGCCTGCCAACTGAAAGGTCGCCAGTTCATTTCCCAGTCAGGGCACATGGCTGGGTTGTGAGCCAGGTCCCCAGCTGGGGGTGTGCGAGAGGCAATTGATCAGTTTCTCTCACACATTGATGTTTCTCTGCCTCTCTTTCTCCTTCCCTTACCCGCTCTCTAAAAATAAATAAGTAAAATCTTTTTAAAAAGTCAGCTTTATTGAGAGACAATTTACATACCATAAAATTCACCAGTTTTAAAGTGTACAATTCAACAATTTTCAGTATACTTAGGAGGTTAACACAACCGTCACCATCATCTAATTTTAGAACATTTTCATCACTTCAGAAAAGTACTGTTTATTATATGCTCATTCTACCTTTTAAGACTTGTTCTCACTGTTATCTTCTATTAAGTTTTTAATTTCTAAGAGCTCTTTTCTGTGCTCTGTTTCTTCTGTAGAGTGTCTATTGCTTCATGGTGGCATGATTTCTCTGATATTTTTCATAATGGTTGAAGAGATTTTATTTATACGGCTTTCATTTCTCTTAAATGTCTTCTATTCTGCCCTTTGTTTTTCTTTTCAGTCCTTATTTTTCAGGTTAAGAGTTTTTTTACCCCAGGGGTTTGATAATTCTTGATTGTCTATTCATATTTAAGAGTGGGAAACTTAAAAGCAGCCTAGAACTTCTAAAAGCATAGATGGGTCTTTGGGAAACTCTTAGGCTTATCAGAATCTTAGAGAAGACTGTCATCTTGCCTGGAGAGTGAAGGTCTGATGAGAACCTTTGAATAAAGTTAAAAAGTCAGTTAACAGCTGCGAGATCTCAGCCTGCAATATCACGATTCACTTAATTCTCCTACTTTCTGAATGGTGCTCCAGATGTCCCTAGTTGCCCCTCATTCTGAGACACCCACTTTACCATCTCCAGAGAATAAATCTCCAGTCTTCTCTTATCAGGGCTTGGGGATTCATCTAGCTGTGTAGAATGGAGGATGTGATTTAGAGGTCTACTCCTCACACAGACTTTCAACATTTTTAATTTAGTCTCTTAGCTCTTACTGACAGAACTGCCTGTAGCTATTTCTGAATCATTTGGGGATTCTCTGGTATAAAGTGGATTGGTTTTGCCTCCTCACAGTGTAACATTGTGCTTTCTCCAGGCTGTGAAGTCAGTTGCCACTCATCCATGCATACTCTAGCTTTCAGCTTTTTGTGTGGTTGTCCCTTATCACTATCTTATACATTTATGGTTTTTAAAGAAAATCCCTTGAATGTTGTTTGAGTGGAGTTTCAGAAGGGTATGAAATTAAGTATATGAAATGAAGTCCTTCCTTTTTTTAAAAAAAGTTGGGCCCTGTGGCCCACATCTTGCATAGCATGAAATTCAGTCTTGCAATGTATTTTTTTTTAAAGATTTTATTTATTTCTATAGAGAGGAGAAGGGAAGGAGAAAGAGAGGGAGAGAAACATTAATGTGTGGTTGCCCATCACAATTCCTCTACTGGGGACCTGGCCTTCCCAGGCATGTGCCCTAGACTGGGAATTGAACTGGTGACCCTTTGGTTGACAGGCTGGCACTTAATCCACTGAGCCACACCAGCCAGTGCCCTTTCTTTTTACCTGAACTAAGTTATTTCTTTTTTAAAAAGATTTTATTTATTTTTAGACAGAGGGAAAGGGAAGGAGAAAGGGAGGGACAGAAACATCAATGTGTGGTTGCCTCTTACGTGCCCCCCTCCAGGGACCCAGCAATGCGCCCTGACTGGGAATTGAACTGGCGACCCCTTGGTTCGCAGGCTGGAGCTCAACCCACTGAGCCACACCAACCAGGGCATTACCTGAAGTAATCTAAATATATCTAATTCTCATTATTTCTATGAGGTGGATATTTTTAATCTGTATTTTATAGGGAGGAGAGCTACAGTTCAGAAAGATTATTTAAATTTGTTTTTCAGGATCATTTCACCAGTAATTAGCATAGATGGGATTACTGCTGAGGTCTGTTTTGCAGGCTCTAATGGGTGTAATCTTTCTACTACACAACGCTGTCTTTCATTAGTGAAATGATTTAGGTATGATTGAGAATGACCTTTTTAATTTTCTTAGCTTGGGGTAGCAGACTTTTCAGTTTCTTTTTATTTTTCCCACTATGCTGCAATGAAGTAGGAGATCAATGAAAATTATTTTCACAATTCAAAGTTAACTTGTGCCTTTCAATCTAAATATAGGAATTTCCTTTAAAAGTCATTGTTGGTATGTCTATAACCATTTTACATACCTGATGAGCAGTGGCTGTCTCTTTTTTCTTTTTCTTTTTTCTCTTTTTGAATACTGATTACTTATTTTTCTACAATTTCAAATTCTCAAAGTGTTTGTACAAGTTAAATTTCATTTTCCATGCAAAAGGTGGACTAACTTGTTACTGTCCTAGTACTCAGTTTGTGACTTTTTGATGATGAAGTTTTAACACTAGGTTGTTTTTTTTTTCCCTATATGCAGTAAGTATCAGCTGTTCCTATGGTTCTTTAAACATTTTAATCTCAAAGGACCTTTGCTTTTTCAAGGAATGTGAGATATTTACTCTCTCAAGCTTGCCAGTGTAATAACTAAGTCTTTTGAGAGATTTTCGACTGTTCAGGGCACATGGTTGAAGAAAAGCACAGGCCCTCGTTCTTCATCTCTAGTGCTACTTCCTATCTCAGTGGCGGTGGCCAGTTCCACATGCAGTTAATCTGAACTGATATTTCAAAATAGGGAAGGAAGAAATGATTTCTACCTAAAATAATTTTGGAATGCTTTCTTATTCTTATGCTAGTATATCTAAGTTAAACCAGTGACCGTCTGATATGTTTTATGCAGCACACCTGAACAGGAACAGCTAATGGTAGTGTGGCTAAGTTGGATGATAAAAGAAGAGGCTTACTTTGAGAGGTAAGGTGCCTTCATTTGTTTCAATTAGTTTGAGTAAGTGTTTCTTATCCTCTGTTTGGAAATTCATACTTTCTTTTCTGTTTCAACAGTACCTCAGGTGTCTCTGCTTCTTTTGGGGAGATGTTATTATTGGTTGCTATGTACTTTCATAGCAACCAACTTAGTGCTATCATTGACTTGGTCTGTTCCACTTTGGGGATGAAGGTAAATTCTCTTTTATTGTCTTTCTAAAGAAGGTGTTGCTAAGCTGGGCATTTTCTTGTAAAGTAAATAGAATTTCATTTTGAAGTAATTTTAGCATAATAGTATGAAATTTAACAGGAACTCTTTGAAAAATTAAATTGTGAAAACATTTATGTACTAAAATAATAGATGTTCAGTGTAGAAAGCTCAGAAAACAAAGAAGAGAAGGGAAAAATATAATTCCATTGTTCAGAGGTATCAAATATACTATTGTCAACATTCTGGTATCTGTTGTTTCTTTAAATTGACATACATGTTTTACAATTTTAAAGAACTTAGCAACATATAATGAGCACTTCCTCATATCAAATATTCGAATACAATATTATTGATGATTTTATAGTAGTCCATTATATGGACCAATCATGTCTTTCTTAATGGATCCTTTCTTATTTGCCGTGTCGATTTTCTAATTTTGGAAAAAATCCTTAGCTTAAAAACCTTATTTATGTAAATATACACACATATCTTCAAATGATTTTTGTATTATTTGCATAGGATAAATTTCTAGGAGGCAGCTACTGAGTAGAAGGGTATGATGATGTTAAGATTTAATGAGTATTGCTACATTATCTTCCAGAAAGATAATAGCAGTTTAACTGATTTCATTAGTGAGTGAGAGTGACTGTTTTCTTCTACTCTTGCCATCACTGGCATTACCAAAATTAGGTTGACAAAAAATGATCTCACTTCTTTTGCATTTCTTTGATTACTTGGTTTGAAAACTTGGTTTTTATTATTGTTATTGTTTTTGTAGTTTACAGTGTTTTTTTTTGTAATTTAAAAAATTTATGTGCTTTGGCTGGTTAATTTTGTCTTGTTTTTTTTTTCTTTTTAATATTTTATTTATTTATTTTTAGAGAGAGGAGAGGGAGGGAGAAAAAGGGAGAGGAACATCGAATGGTTGCTTCTTGCACGCTCCCAACTGGGGACCTGGCCTGCAACCCAGGCACGTGCCCTGACCTGGAATTGAACCAGTGACTTTTGGTTCGTAGGCCGATGCTCAATCCACTGAGCCACGCCAGTCAGGGTTCGTTGTTTTGTGAAAAACATATCGATGTCCCGATTTTTCTTTAGGTATTTGCATAATTTGATTTTTATTTCACTGATTCAAAAGGGTTCTTGATATATAAATGATGTGGTATTATGCCTTATATATCATATTTCATTGATTTCAAGACATATTTTACCCAATGTTGAATTGGGATGATTCATTTTCTAGTTGTTGTGCAATGTTTAAGTGGTAATGTTTCCCCCCTTTTTTCTTGAAAAGCTACTATTAAATCAGTGATGTATTTTATAATCCTTAGTGTCTTTAAAAGTGGAAAAGTACATTATGTTGCAATTGATTTTTTTCCCCCAGTTGTTTTTGCCATGTGGAAATTATTATTTTTGTGTGCGTAGTATATTATTTCTTTTGTAGTTCTTACTTTGCTGTTATGCTTAGAAACGTTTTTCCTTCCTCAGGTTTATAGAAATGGTCACCTCTGTTTCCTTCTGGTGCTTTTGTGGCTTCAAGTTTTATATTTAAAACTTTAATACTTTCAGAGTTTATTTTGGTTATGATGTCGTGCAGATATACAGCAGGTCCCATAACGTCATACTATTCAGTGTCATTTTGTTATGCCATTGAAAAGATGCTTTAAGAACCTGATTCTCGCTATTATTAAGTAGCCTCTGGTAAAATTGGTTTCATTTTACAGGAGAAGGCAAAAGTAGGTTTACAGTTGTGAGTACATGAAACATGTTTATTCTTTTATTATTAATTATTATATTATTTGTCTTCTTTGTAAACCTACTTTTTCCCATTCCTCTATTTCATTTTCTTAAAATTGTAGAACCTATCAACAATTTTAAGTGAGGACTTACTATATATATATTCCCCATAAAGGTAGTTGTCCCACCTCTCTATTGAATAATCCACTTCTTTCCACTGACTTGAAATGTCAATAATAGTATTTACTAAGTACTTTTATATGATGGTTCATTTTCTGAGGAAAAACACACTTCAACGTTGTGTCTGAGAAGCCACTTCTGAAATAGGGTATTTGAACATTAATGTTACATTTCATAGTCACTTTAGATAATAAATGTACCAGAGGAAATTGTGCTTCATATATTTTTATATGCTGTTGGAATTTTTTTGGTTGTTTTAGATTGTAATTAAGCCAAGCTCTTTGAGCAGGATGAAGACTATCTTCACACAGGAAATTTTTACTGAACAGGTACTTCTTTAACTTCATTTTATAACATTCTTTGAGGGAAACTTGTATATCTCAGTTTAAGAGAATAATAAGGTATTTTTCTATTCTTTTTGAGTTTCCAATGATGATTCATTTAATCTTTGAAATATCTTTAAAGAATAATCCCATTTAAAATTTACTTTTAAAGCTAATTAATACATATAAAAGCAGGTTTTGAATTTACATATTTTGGAGGTTTGAGTAGATACTTAAGAGTATAGTCTTAGGTGTTGATGGTAGGGATCTCACATGGGGTAATCATTTGGATTTGTCAGATGAAAAATAAAATAGAGACCTACTTAAACCGTTAGGCTGTAATATTCACTTCTAACTAGATTATAAACTAGAGTCTGAATTCCTTATTCTTGTATTTACATGTTCTTATTTGGCCTCAGCACTTTTTTGCCATGGTTATTCCCAAGGATATTTTATTTTTTCAGTGAACAAGACTGTTGTAAAATTTTAACATTAATTACCAGATTCATTTGTCAAGTTAAATCTCAGAATACAAAAACATACGTCTTAAAAAATGAAATATTTGAAAGTACTCATGGATCCATAATCTTTACTTCTTTTAGGGTAATTTCTCATCTGCTTACCAAAGGCTCCCTTTTCTGCTCAGCGCACATGCACATAACAGTCACACACAGGACTTAGGAGAACTTCATGTGTTTAATTTGAACTAACGGAAGACAACTCTAGGGAGGGTGTTTGAAAGAGAGGTCTGGGAATGACACAATGAGAATAACAGTAGAAACTCCAGTTTATATTTATGTTATGCTTTATAATTCACATGTTTTCAAAAAAGTTTTTCCACCTCACAAAATCCTTTTGAGGCAAGTATGTATTGTCTCATACTGTAGATATGAAACTAGACTCGGAAAATAAAATGACTTAATTAAAGTAATGTCATGGAGCACAGATTATGTGATTCCAAATTTTATATATATTTTTTAACTTACTTCACCACCATTAACATATCTGCATTTAAAAACAAGTGATAAAATTAGAGAATTTTACAAATCCCTAAGTGTATGCTACCTTGTCAATCAAAAACAATTAAACATGTAATAATTGGTTTCTGTTGTTCATTCCTAGGGCCCACACTTGTATTAAGTATGAACAGTCAACCTGCTAATCCTCCCTCTTTCAGGATAATTTTGTTTTCAGTTCTGTCATATGTGTTTATACTGTTTTTCCGTTTTAGGTTGTCACAGCTCATGCAGTTCGGGTCCCTGTCACCAGCAACCTGAGTGCCAACATTACTGGATTTTTGCCTATTCATTGTATTTATCAGCTTCTCAGGAGTCGTTCTTTTACGAAGCACAAAGTATCAATAAAAGTATGACCTTACATTTGTATTCCCAGCTATGACCTAAGTTAATGTTTTTTTTCCCCCAGTTCTAGTTCAATTTGTAGGCCTTTACTGTGGGTTTTGTGTATGAAATGTGTCTAGTTATTAGTCATTTGTATACTTATAGTAATTAGGAACTTAATTTTAGATTTTTAAAATAATTTAACTTAGTTTTTTAACAAATGTATAGTGTCATTAATTCAATTTATAGTCTCAATAATAGTGTATGACTATTTCATTAAGCCTTAGTAAGAAATTGCCACTTTCCATAGTTTGGTTTTGTTTACCAAACTGAGAAAGTTGCTAGTCTTCCGTAACAAGTGTCTGTGCCTTTGGCACAAGGACATCTAATACCTAACTTGTACATATTTTGATATGGTTTCAGTTTGTTATAGTTGTCTTTATCAAACAGTTAAAAGGTCCTCTAAAGGAAACGTTGAACCCCAGGAGGTAAAGAAATCTGTTTGAAGAGCCTCTTTTCTAGAGGCTCTTTTATTTATAAAGGACAATGAACAATGTATGCATTGATGTATCACTTTTAATTTTCCTTGTTTTTATCATTTAGTGAAGTTATTTTCTAGCTACATGGTGTCTTTTACTTTATACTTTTAGCAAGTTAAATAGAAACGAATTAAGAGTCCAAATGCACACCCAGCATTTCTGCATGTCCTCAGTCTGTATAACTAATTAAGTGATAGTCTCCCATAAGTGGTTCTCGAAGCCACTTTCTTAATCTATCTGAGGGTTTGCTGTGAAGAACTATTTTTCCTAAATTTCTCTCAGCTGTGGGGTCTTCTACACCAACACATATGGTGCTCTAAGTACACCAGGGACTTAAAATTTTCCCCATTACTTAAAAACTAATAGATTAAAAACACATAGTTCAAATTCAAAACCCAACATCGTTTTAGATTTATCTTCCAATGGACAATATTTTCAATTAGGATATAAGAGTAATTCATATTGTTAAATCAAAGACAGTGTGAAATTGGAGACTATATTTCCATTAGAAGTTAACAGTTTCACTGATTGATAATCATATAAAATTGTATGTGCTTTTAAAATTTCACTTGCTTTTTCTTATTGCCGTATTGCTTTAGTGCCTATAACCTTCTTTTGTTAGGACTGGATTTATAGACAGCTATGTGAAACCTCCACTCCACTCCACCCTCAATTACTTCCTCTGATTGATGTGTACATAAATTCTATACTTACTCCTGCGTCCAAATCTAATCCGGAAGCCACAAATCAGCCAGTCACGGAACAGGAGATACTCAATATTTTCCAAGGAGTCATTGGGGTAAAATACTGATTTATTTTTAACATTAATTAGCTTACTTTTCTTTTAGTTTATTTTTTTGACTTATTCCATATTTTTTGCACTGATTATTAGAGGATTTATAAGTCGTTCTGAATTTAAAATGGGATTAAATTTCTTTAGATTGCTCATAAAAATTTAAAGAATAGTATTCCAAATAGTTTGTCGAAGAGGTATTTTTTTGAGGAATTCTTTTAAAAGCTTCACTTTAAAGTCTGAAGAGTACCCTGGAGATTGTGTGTTTCTCAAAGGACTATGTGATATTCAGATGCATTCAACATAGGTTTGTTTAGCTTCCTGTGAGTCTTAGATATACCTAGATTCATTTACGGAGAATTTGAAGAAAATTTTTTTTTCCATTTTTTTTAAATGGTAAGATTTAGATTTTATTTATTTAATTTTTAGAGAGAGGGGAAGGGAGGGAGAAAGAGGGGGAGAGAAACATCAGTGTGTGATTGTTTCTCACGTGCCCCCTACTGGGGACCTGGCCTGCCACCCAGGCATGTGCCCTGACTGGGAATTGAACCGGAGACCTTTTGGTTCACAGGCTGGTGCCCAATCCAATGAGCCACACCAGCTGGGGCTCTCCATTTTTTTTAGAAGAAAAAATAGTCACTTGTTTTACAAATATATTATAATGTGTAATTTCAGATAATACTTGAGAATCCTGTAAGCCTTTTTCCAAGGCAGCCTGATGGGATTTCTGTTGAGTAACAGATGAAGACTTTTTTCTTTCTGTTTTAGAGACTGTTAAAGCATATAGCTTTTCATTTCCCACACCATCTAAAATTTAATTTAATCTTCAAGTTGTCTCTTTAAGTAATGCCACAGCAATGTTTCTCCCGTTTTACCTGAGCTTGGGAGCAGGAAAACTAAATAGTCTATTTTGAGTGTTTTGCTATCAAAACAGCACCCATGAAATTTAACATTATTTTGAAGCATTTCTGTGACTTCCAGAGTGACAACATCCGCCTTAATCAGCGCTTCAGTATCACAGCACAGCTTTTGGTACTTTACTATGTACTGTCTTATGAGGAAGCTCTGCTAGCAAACACGAAGACTTTAGGTAAGTTGCACATGAGGGAGAGTTCCTAGTGATAGTTCATGTTATTTGTTTATATTTTGTTACCTTCCAGGCTGTGACATGAAAAAGTGAGGTCAAATATTCTAACCTTCAGTGTCATTCTATACAGACTTTGCAGTACAGGCACTGTATACTTCGATGCATGAATACATCTCTATGTGGTCTCATAGTCATCCCATTAGGCTCAGTCCTCCTTATAGCAAGCTAATAGGTAACCAAATAGCTGGTATTTTAACAATTTTAGTGACCTTATTAACTAAGTATAAATTAAGAGATTTCTTGATTTCAATTTTTGCTGTAGCTTCTATTAGTGTGAAGAATGACAATCTAATAAAAAACATCAGAAAAAACAATAGAAGACTTTCCCTTTGCTATTGAAATTATCACTAAACAGGGCTTTCAAACTTAGCTACTTCATATAATATCAGAAGGTCAAATTTAGCATAGAAGATATCAGTATAAAGTCATGTTTTCCTATATTTGAAAAAGAAAATTCACCTGTATTTTAGGCTTGCTAAATGTATGTAGACCATACCTGAAACAAAAAGAGTGTCATTAAAAACCATAAGCAGTGAGTATATAATGCAGGGAAAATTCTTGTACGGGTGGTTATTTTGGCACAGCTGAGGGGTTTACTTTTTGCAAGCTATAAGTGAAGGTTACTTTTCAGTGTTTGGCAAATCAGTTTCATTTCTTTATCTGAAGTATTGTGTTTCAAGTAGGCTGTGAATTTCTCAGTTCTTTCTTTCCTGACTATAATTGTTAGGAAAGAAAGGATATACTATTGACATCCCATAACTGTAATTATAGTCTTTGGTGTATTAGGGACAAGGTGGGCTAATAGTAAACATTAGATAATAGTCTCTCACTTTTATCCACGTACAACAAAATCTGTTAAGGCATTTGACACTTGTGATTTAATAACTAGATAATAGAGGTATGAGTTACAAGGAGGTGTTCTGGGGGAGAACTCAGACCATTAATACTGTAGCAGGGGACCAGGATACTCCCTTAGTTTTTATTTAACCTAATTCCTAGCAAAAACCTTTCTTTTTTTTTAACACAAAAATACAGAGAAGCCCTGGCTGGGTGGTTCAGTTGATTGGAATGTTGTGCTAATATGCCAAGGTTTTGAGTTCGATCTCTGGTCAGAGCAAATACAGGAAGCAACCAATGAAAGCATAAACAAGTGAAACAACAAACAGATGTTTCTCTCTTTTTCTCTAAAAAAAGAAAAAAGAATAATGTATTTTTACAGAGATGTTAAAGAGAAATAATTGCTTTAGGCTGGGCTTCATGGGCTGCTAGTTCTTTGATGGGATCATTAAAATACCAGGATTTTGTCTTCAACTTCATAGGTCTAGGAACTTAAATATATTTTTAAAAATTTTATTCATTTGAGAGAGAGAGAGATGATGATCTGTTGTTCCACTTATTTATGCGTTCATTGGTTGATGCTTGCGTGTCCCCTGACTGGGAATTGGACCTAAACATGGTGTATTGGGACAATACTCTAAGTCACTGAACTACCCAGCCAGGACTTAGAAACTTAAATACTGATACTTTACCCTAAGCAGATACTGGAGACTCTAGATCTTAATAACGCTAGTTAAAATTTGAGTGCTTGCTGTGTGCCAGAGAGTACTTGACACTTTCCACTTATTAACTCATGCAAACTCTTAGAGTTTTGAGATAGGTACCATTGTTATCTTTATAGGCGAGAACACTGAGACACAGGGAAGTTAAGTACCTTCTTTAAGGAGTAAGTGTCGGGTCTAGGATTTCACTGTCCCTGGAACCTCTATTGTTTTAGTAGCCTTCTGAAACACATTCTTAATGAGTTCATAAGAGATTGCTGTGGAAAACTAGGTTATTAATTTGTTAATTTACAAGTGGGGTTATATCTAATTAAGAGGTATATGGTCTGTGTAGACAAGGATTCTTAACCTTTATTCTTCCACTTTACTATACTTACTGTCTTCAAAAAAAATTTGTTGAGCTTTACATTTTGTGGTTTGTATTTGACAAATAATATGTATATTGGATATGCTTTTTCAAACTATAACCATCCTGGCTGAGCTGCTCGTGTGGTGCTGCAGTGCATAAGCAAACTGCCTTGGAATGAGTTGAGGGTGCTGGGCACACAGAGAGCATGGCAGAGCTGAGCAGAGAATAGCGCGGAATAGGACCTTTCCTCTGGGACGTGGGAATCCGCCAGAGGTCTTAGAGGGTACACGTGATGCGGCCAAATCTATGTGTGAAGGATGAATTAAAGAGAAGAGAAATAGGAGTCACGGAAATGGGGCCATAATAGATGTTTAAACAAGTGGTGTGTAGGCACTGCATTAGTCCAGCACCAGCAGAATAGAAATTAAGATGGACATGTTTTTTTTTTTTTTTTTTTTTAAATTCTTTTTAAGATTTTATTTATTTATCTCCAGAGAGGAGGGAGGGAGGGAGGAAGAGAGGGAGAGAAACATCAATGTGTGGTTGCTTCTTGCCTGCCCACAACCGGGGACCGGCCCGCAACGCAGGCATGTGCCCCGACCAGAAATCGAACCCGCGACCCTTTGGTTCGCAGGCCAACACTCAGTCCACTGAGCCACACCAGCTAGGGCAAGATGGACATGTTTTAAAAAAAAACAAACAAAAAAAATGGATGGAATTGTTAGCTCGCTGAAGGTAGAAGTTGTGAGAAAACTAAGCCAAATTTATTTGCCCAACTTCCTTTAAAAAGCAGGGGGAGGTGAGAGGGTGGAGGGATTGAGCAAAAAGGAAAAAGGACTCATGGGCATGGACAACAGTGTGGTGATTGCAGGGGGAGGGGAGTATAAGGGGACTAAATGGTAATGGAAAAAATATGATGAAGATTAAAAGAAGCATCAGTATAATGATTATATTAAGGCTACTGGATCATAAAGCTTTAAGCCATGTGGTCATGACTGTATTTGGTTCTCTTAATTAGATTTGGGAATCTTGACTTACCAGGTTTTCTTTTCTTTTCTTTTCTTTTTTAGTGTAGGCCATTTCTGCAGTTGATTTCTCTCACCCATTATGATTTTCCTCCCTCTAGTTTCAATTTCTGGGCATTTTCCGGATGTTGCCCTTATATCCACTACTTTCTTCCTGTTCTTCCTGTATATCCACTACTTTGGCAGTGATTCTTCATCTTTTATGAACGATATTCTCAGATTAAGTGAATTAAAAGTAATTGATATTGTATTCCTGTTTGGATTGAAGGTGAAGATTTATCTTGTTTCTGACACTTTATTTTTCTTTTGCTTTTTATCTTTGACAGCTGCCATGCAAAGAAAGCCAAAATCATATTCATCTTCTTTAATGGACCAGATTCCCATCAAATTCCTTATTCGACAAGCTCAAGGGCTGCAGCAGGAGTTGGGAGGTATTTGTTTTACTTGCTTCTTACTTCCAACATCCACTGTTAAAGAATTTCTTCAGTTATATTGTAATATTTAATAGGTTGTTCAGTGCTAAAAATTCAAAATATTCTAGAGTGAAATTCCTGTTAATATCCCTCACTATCTTACTTCCTGACCCACCCCCCACCCAAATCGTAGCTGTTTTATACTATAAATGGTATTTTACCTTATCTCTTCTGAGATTTGCTTTTTCCTTTTGGAGTCTTGGAAATCTTTTCATGTCAGAACATGTAGATCTACCTTATTGTTTTTACCTGCTTCATAATATTCCAAAGCATGGAATTACTATAATATTTTTACTATAAAACTGTCAAATAGAAATGAGGTAATATTTTTTGAAATTTATTGTTTTTCTTATTTCTGTTTATGATGTTTGAGTTTGGGGTTTTTTGTTTGTCTCTTTGAAGCTGGAACTTCCTCTTTTTTTCTTTGTTATTGTTGGTTTCAGGGCAGAACATGATCCTTCTTTGGCCACCTTTAGCCAGATGTCTGCATTTATATCTTTGCTTAATTTATTTTCAAAGAAATGATGTTACATTTGGCAGCATTTGGCAACTAACATGTTTTCTTGAAGAGATTATGAAATGTAGATTAATTCACACTGTTGTAGGCAGTTACTTTTGTCACTGTTTTGGGATAGTCTTAACTTTGCATATATTGTGCATTTAGATGTTTACATTTTAAAATAGTGCCTCTTTTGATTGTTACAGTGTCTTTTCAAACAGAAACATTAATTTTAAGCAGTTTCTATGAGAGGAAGCAGATGCTATCCCTATTGGGACTAAGCATTGGTAATAGGAGTTGATTTAAGTTGTATAATAAGGGGATGATTGGATCTAAAGTATTTTTATTACTACTACTACTATTATTACTACTCTTATGACTTTGATGATGGTGATGATGATAATAATAATAGTTTACTAACAACAATATTTATTAGGTGTTTATATGCCAGGCATAGTGGTACTTCCTCTATCTAAATAGAAATTTTTACAGTATCATTATTTATTTTCTCATTATTGATATTACTCAATAATAGACATGAATAGCCATGCTATGCTATAAGCAAAAGATGAGAAACACAGTTTTGATTTAATAAAAGGAAGGTTTCCCATTCTTTTTGAGTTTCTTTAACCCTTTGTAAAAAAAATAGACTTCATTTTACTTTTTAAAAACTTTTATTTTTAATTATTAGTTAAGGTGTACATCATAGTGGTTCAACATTTATACACCTTAGAAACTCATCACCACAGTATGTCTAGTAACCATCTATCCCTATGCATAGTTAATCGCTATTGACTCTATTCACTGTGCTGTACATTAATTACACCTTTGTGAATTATAACTGGAAGTTTGTACTTCTTAATCCCCTTCCCCTTTTCTGCTTGGTCCCCTGCTTGCCCTCCCTCTGTAAACCCTTAATTTGTCCTTAACTCTTCTTGAAGAAAGGCAAAATGCACCCTCTTGTGGGTGCCATCAGTATTGCTTCAGCTGGCCAACATACATGGTCTGTCCAGAAAGTATCCAGCCATGTACTGTGCAAAATAGAGACATTTACTGAGAAAGGTACAAGATACAAGAAACCCTGTACGTAGGACAATGACACCTCAGTCCTCTTCAAAGTAGGCACCTTGGGACCTCACCCAGTTCTCCCGGCATCTGTTCAAAATCCTTTGTTGGAATTGCCATTAGCTGCCCTGTTGTATTTTCCTGAATTGCATTGAAGGTCTGAAATCTCTTCCCTCTCAGAGGTGATTTTAGTTTTGAGAAAAGTCAGAAGTTGCAGGGCACCAAATCTGGGCTGTAGCGGGGCTGAGTCACATGGGTGATTTGATGTATTGACAAAAAACCGCACAAGACAGGATGCATGAGAGGGGCATGTTGTGATAATGCTGCCCATCACTGGTTGCCCATAGCTGTGGCCATTTTCATTGTATTGGTTCTCTCAACCAATGAAGAACGTCGAGGTGGTACTCCTTATTAATCATTTGGCCTGGAGGGGTGTACTTGTGACGGACAATACCTTACCCATAAAAAACACTGTTAACATGGTCTTGCTCTTAGCTGTGGCTTTCCTGCGCCTTCTTCAGGCATGGAGAACAAGGCGACTTCTTTTGGCATGACTGGGCTTTCATTTCCGATTATAGCTGTAAACCCACAGTTCATCTCTGGTTATGACCTTCTTGAGGAAATCTGGTTCATTGGTGGCGGTTTGAATCAAGTCATTAGCAACAGCAGTACAATGTCCTTCTGCTCTGGTAGCAGAAGCCTGGAATGAATTTTCCCATGACCATTTCAGGCCAAGATCCTGCATCAAAATCTCAGGCACAGTAGTATTTAAAATCCCCAGATCAGCCTCTAGTTCTCACACTGTTGGTTGCCCATCTTTGTTGATTGCAGCCCATACACGTTCAACATTCTCAGGTGTTCAGCTTTTTGCAGGCTTCCTAGAACATGGATCACTTTCAACAGATTCTTGACCATCTTTGAAGCGTTTGTGCCACGCTTTTATTTGCACTACACTCATTGCATCATCCCCAAAAGCCTTCTGAAGCATCCGAATAGTTTCTGCGGAGGAATGTCCAAGCTTAACGTAAAATTTGATGCAGATTCATTGTTCTACTTGCTTAGTCATTTTGAATGTGATGGCCACACAATACACATGCTTATTCAATGGCATCTACTGCTCCTACAGACAAGTACAGTTAAGTCGTCATTGTTTATGCATGTGCATTCCAGTCCACTCTTCTTGGCTGCCAGGTTACATGATGTGGTGCAAACCATTCTCAATATTTTAATAATGGCTAGACTTTTTCCAGACAGACCTTGTACTGAGCTGTGTGACTTTGGGAACCTTAATAAATGTTTACAGCCTGTTCCCTTGCAGTAGAATGGAGACAATATGGCTTACCTTGTAGGCATGTTAGGGTGAAATGAGAAAAGGTACATAAAGTGCCTGAGACCTTTGAGGTATTCAAAAGTGGGCAACTTTAATTTTACCCTTCTATAGCAGTGATTCTCAGCTGGGTTAGAGGAAAAGACATATTCTTCAATAGAAGCCTATGAGAATTTCTGAGTAAGGCCTTTTCAAACCATATGCGATCTCCCCCAAATGGGTATTCTTTTCTTTTTCTTTCCCCTCAACTCTTAAACTACTTCTATGTCAAACAATTTTAACTGGTGTAAGACTTTTATTTTGAGATAGGGTGGAAGAAAGCTTGAGAACTTTTGGTAGAAGAAGTAGTTTCCAATGTCCCATGTATCAGATCCACTTGCTTATCTTTACTTAAGCAGATTCCCTAGCTGAACTACCGGACAGGAGTTCTCAGGCTCTAGTATGCACACGCAAGAAGTGCAAATTCCTTTGGCTTGCTGAAAATGAAAGGGAAAGAGGAGAGAGAAGATTTTGGTGTTTAAGAATGAAGAATCCAATTGACTCTCTATACATTTTCAAGGGTTGCATTCGGCTTTACTACGTCTCCTTGCAACTAATTACCCACACTTATGCATTGTGGACGACTGGATCTGTGAAGAAGAAATCACAGGGACTGATGCTCTGTTAAGGCGAATGCTCCTGACTAACAATGCCAAAAACCACTCTCCTGAACAGCTCCAAGAAGGTATAGTAAATTGATAATCGTTTTACCCCTTTAGTAGTATAAAGAAATGTTAGGCTCATTAAAATCTTAAAATCATGCAGAATTTGCCTGGGGGTATAACAGTGTTTTGGTGAATGTATTTTAAGTAATTCTCTTTGTGTTTGAGTTTTAATCATTTCATTCAGACATGCTTCTGTTTCCTTGTGGGTCCTAAGTTGTATCACTAAACAGGTCATGTGGTTTTAGGAAGGTCCTAAACTGGTCAGAAATGAGTGCTCTGGAATAGAGCAGTTGTACTGCTTTGAACATATGGTGTTCTAGCTCAGCACTACCAAACAGAAATATGATGGGAGCCACACTTACAATTTTAAACTTTCTATGGCCACATTAAAAAGTTAAAAACAGGCAAAATTAATTTTAGTATTTTATTTAATGCAGTATATTTAATATATTACCATTTCATCATGTAATCAATGTAACAAACTACTAGTGAGATATTTTTCTGTTTTTTCCACACTAAGTCTTTGCAATCTGGTATGTATTTTATATTTAGTACACATCACGTTTTGGACCACCCACATTTCAAATGCTCAATAGCCAGGTGTGATCAGTAACTGTGGTATTGAAGAGCACAGTTCTAAATACTGTTTACTAATAGCAATCTGCTGGGTGCTTACAACTTATAAAGGGGGCCACCCAGAAGAAGGCATCAAGAAGTTTGAATCCTTCAAATGAGTGCTCTACCAAGAATAATACTACGGTATATTTTCATGTTTCAGTCAATTTTTAAAATCAGTCTGAATCACCAAGGAAATGACATTTTTTTTGTCACTAACATGAATTTAAAACATGAGGTTATTTTTTGTTCTTTATGAAATAACTACGGCCTACATGATTTTTTTCTTGAGGACTTTATTTTAAGTATAGCCAAAACTATGGTTAGGATTGAAAGTTTTACTTTTTGGGCAACATTGTTTTCTTGATTTGCTTGGCCTACGGTCTGGGAGAGCAGCAGTTTTCAACCAGTGTGCCACAGGAAGGTTTAAAACATGCAATACCTGACTGTTTAGTCAGGGGCACTGACATCTTTGTTCTTAGATTGTCAAATAAAAAAAATAACAATAGTCAACACAACAATAGCTGTCTGGTGTGAATGAATCAAAATTATACCTATTTTTTTGGGTCAGCAAAAAACATATTTTTTGGTGTGCCACAGAATTTTATTAATTAATGTATGTGTGCCACGAGATGAAAATGGTTGAAACCTGCTGTGATAGAGCAATATTACTTTGTCCTTGGTAAGCTGTATAGAATTTAGGTTATGACTGCTAAGTTTTCCTTTTAGCATTTTCAGCTGTCCCAGTAAGTCACACGCAAGTGATGCAGATTCTAGAACACTTGACTCTACTTTCTGCCAGTGAACTTATACCATATGCAGAAGTATTAACATCCAATATGAACCAGCTGTTGAATTCAGGGGTTCCGCGGCGAATTCTTCAAACAGTCAATAAACTATGGATGGTTCTTAATACTGTGATGCCTAGAAGGTAATTTTAGTGTATTGTTACATAGATAAGTATATAGCAGTGATTACATACAGTAACCTAAACTCAAATGTTAAAAAATTGAGTAAAAAGTTCTAAAGAATATAAACCTTTTCTGTAAACCATTAGAGTTGTTATAACTTTAATGAAAAGGATAAACTTATCTTAAACTAAGAGAAACCTTAAAGTATTTTCAACGTGAGAAAGTTCTTTAAAAGTGAGCCCTCTTGTATAGTGACTTGTGGCTAATTGCGACTAGGTCAGCTTTGTGATCACTGTTGCAGTGGCTCCGCATTTTGCTGAGTATTAAAATTACCTAGAGAGCCTTTAAAATTCCTGATCCCTGAGTTGTAACCCAGGCCGATGAAACAACGATTAAACGAGAATGTCTGTGGGTGGAGATAAACATTGGTATTTTTTTAAGATTCCCTAAGTGATATCAGTGTGCAGTAAAGTTTAGAGAACATTGGATTAATTATTTTGTCTTTAGTCAAGTGATTCTCTGCTGGTCCACAGAGTGTGTCAGAGATACTTGGTTAGCTCTAAAAACAGTACTGGGCTGATTTAACCTGAGGTTTTTGATTCAGTAGGTCTGGGAATATTTATATTTTTGAAAATTAAAGTTTTAAATTATAAGTACCTAAATTTTTAATATTAATTATAAGTAAATTAACATAAAATTAATAAATGCACATAACTTAACAAGTTAAATAGTATATAAGATCTGCCCACACCTTCCTATTTTAGAATATTCCTTAGAAAGAACTATTTTCAGCTTTTATCTTTTTTTTAAAGATTTTATTTATTTCTAGAGATTTGGGAAGGGAGGGAGAAAGAGGGAGAGAAACATTGACATATGAGAGATGCATCTGGGGATCTGGCCTGCGACCCCGGCATGTGCCCTGACAGGGAATTGAACTGGTGACCCTTGAGTTCACAGTCCAGTGCTCAATTCACTGAGCTACACCATCCAGGGCCGGCTTTTATCTTTTTAATTCTGGCGTTTATATTTCCCATCTATCACAATAATATGCTTATAATATGCTTATAATTACTATGATTTTCTAACTTTCAAAACTTAGAAATTATCTTTGAACTTTCTACTATACAAGATGAAGAGTTAGCACTCTTACCTGCTTCCTCCTGTGAGGCCCTCTTCCACCAATACACACTTTCCCTTTCTCCATTTCTCCCAGCACAGTTATCTCAGAATTTTTGGTTAAAGCAATATTCAGTGTGCATGTTATTAGGACTATTATACTCCTGTTTCATAAGTGAAACAGGTCAGAGAGGCTCAGTGAGTTATATACAGTCATGAGAAGTATGGTATTACTGAGAATTAAATAAAATTTTTATTTTATATGCCATGATTATTCCATTACAGTGGTGAAGAATTTTGGAACTACTTCGTGTTTAATGTTTTATCTTCATTTGTTTTAGAGATATAACAGGTTAGATTTCTATAGTTTTTAATTTTTTGAAGTAAATTCACACCAGTTTTCTACTTTTTTTCCTGAATATATCTTTTTAAGATAGAAAGGACTGGACAGATTTTGATTATAACATAGCTGTTTTTGAACATGTGGTTCTTTTCTCATCAGGCTGTGGGTAATGACAGTTAATGCACTTCAACCTTCCATAAAGTTTGTTCGACAACAAAAGTATACTCAGAATGACCTGATGATAGACCCTCTCATTGTCCTAAGATGTGATCAGAGGGTACACAGGTACGTGTCATTTGAATTTCATTTTTATTACAGAGTTATACTTCGGAGAGTAAAAGAAATTGAAGAAATTCAGTTTAAACTTATATCTAATGTTCTTGCAGATAACTGGCAGTATAACCTGTGAGGTTTTTTTTAAGTTATCCATATTCATGAACTATATATTCAGTTTAAAATAAAACCTAGCCTTAAAGAAATGTCATTCTTGGTGTTGGCAAGCACAATAATGTCTGTTCTTTCTATCAGAGCAAGACCGGTACAGAATAATACCATGTCTGCTAGCATTGTTGAGAAGGCTTTAAAAAAACTGATTTATTATGAACCATTACATGCATTAAAACTGTGATCTTTTTGGCATCCTCAGCTGTGATGTTAGCTTCACTGATTCCACATTTGTCTGTAATTTCTTGCCAATTACTGAACTTAATTGAAGTGGCTTCACCTCAAGGGGCAGAATTAATTAATTCACATTATTAATATTTGAATTTCTAGTTGCTATACTAAATAATATCAAATATATATAAGTCGAGGGGCTTGCCTTTAAAGTGATTATCACCTGCATGGGAAAGTAAGACAAATAAATGAAAAGTTAAAAAATATGGTCATAAGTAGAGGAATGCTAGAGTAAATGAATGCTGTTAAAAGTTCAAGAAGATGTGGAGGAAGTGGGACCTGAGTAGTGTGTTAAAGGATAAAAATAGGATTTAGACGACCAGATACTATAGTTACGGTGGTTCGGGGGTCAAGGAAGGTATTTTGGGCAAAAGAAGCATATAAGCAAAAGTGTAGAAGTAAGAATGAAAAAGACTTTGGTGGAGGGGTTAGTTTTTGAGAATAGATTTTAGAAGTAGAATGTCAGATTGGGGTCATACTATGGAGGGCCCTTGACTATTAGGCTGAAGAGGTCTTTTAGGTGGTAACTTAAGGAGGCCAGATTTGCACTAGATGGTTTAGAGGGCAAAGACTGGAATAAAGGAGACTACGTAGGATATACTCTAAGAATAGACTCATCTGTCCTCAAACCTCGGGATAAAATGCTTGAAGTGACAAGATGTGCAAAATCAGCCAAATATGGTCGGGCAAGATCAAGGTCTCATAGGAAATAGGAATCAGAAGAATAAATAGTATAAGTGATATTAAGTATCTAATAAAAGGAAAATAATAGTAAATAACACTTCTAAAACAATTTAGCAGTGTTAAAAATCCACTTAAGTAGGTAACCTTTCACGTGAATTGCCTCCAGTTGTCAAATTATGCCATCATGTGTATGTAATGTTTTTGTAGCCTGGATTTTTTTTTTAACAACTTGTGAACCTTTTCTTGTCTTAGTAGATATTGTTATATTAATTGGCTGCATGGTATTCCACGTAGATATGCTATGCTTAGCCCAATCTTCTATTTTGTTTATTTCTATATTTTGTTATCAGTAGTGCTGTGTGACTGTTCTATGTACTGTTTCCTTAGAATAGATACTTAAAAAATGCAATTATTGGGGCAAAAGTAACATGCTCATTTTTAAGACTTTTGATTCCTATTTTTGTCATCCAGAGATGCTGAACCAGTTTACATTTCCTATACCTGTGTTTGATCTGCACTTTCCCACACTATTTTATATATTTCCTAATTTTATAGGTGAAAAATGGATTCCCATTTCAATTTATATTTTAGATTAAATATTTTAATACACTTATTGGCTACTGGTATTCTTTATATTTTAGCCTACCTTTCTGTTAGATTGCTTATCTTTTTTTCTTTTTTTTAAAGAGAGCTCCATATAAAGGATATTAGCTCTTTGTGTGTGTGTATGTATATAGCTGTTTTTGCTTTTATTATTCTATTGTTTTTCTTTTTAATTTTGTTTATTTTTTAAAATTTATGTTTTTTGCAAAGTGATCATTCACATGTGTTTTTAAAAATAAAACAATATGAAAATAGAGCCACATATAAAAATATGTTTAGGATTTGCTTCGCACTATCCCAGCGGTGACGGTGGGAGTGGATGGAGGCGTAGATGGAAGAGGACGGGCCGCCCGTAGGCAACCGTTGCAGCTGGGGGATGAGTTCTTGGAGGTTCATGACAATAGTCCCTTTTTTATGTGTGTATGACAGTTTTTATAGTACACATTAATAAGTGAATAAACAAGAATTTTAACAACAAGAAAAAGATCTACAGTGAACAGTCTTGTTCTTACTCATATCTACCATGCTGCCGTTGCTAAAGCAAAATTTCTCTTTGTCCTCTTTTGACCAATCCCAGTTCCATCTCCAGAGGAAACTTTGTTGTCATAAATGGTGTGTATGTAGCTTTATTTTCTTTGTATTTACAAATTTATAAATAGAAATATTTACTTTTTGTTTTGGGTGGTTTTAAAAAATAGTAGTAGTAGTAGTATATTTGGGGATTATTATTATTGTTTTTTAAAACCTTAATGTTTTTGCCTTGACTGGTATGGCTCAGTTGGTTGGGCGTTGTCCAGCAAAGTGAAAGATCGCTGGTTCAGTTCGGAAAGTTTGTTGGTTCAGTTCCCAGTCAGGGCATATTTTGGGGTGCGTGTGGGAGACAACCTATCGATGTTTCTCTCCCTCTCTTCTTTCCTTTCTTCCCTTCTAAATAAATAAAGAAAGAAAGAAAGAAGGAAAGAAAGAAATGTTAAAACTTTAAAAAAAAACTTAAATGTTCTCAACATGGTTTCCACATTAGTGTGCATAGTTTTATCTCATCTGTTTTAACTGTTGCAAAGTATTCTATCTACTATAGATTTCTAGGCCGGTCCTTCAGAAACCGATACAGACTGTCTGGAGTGGAGCTTGGAGTTGTTTTTTTTTTTTTAAATAAGTACTCCAGGTGATTCTTATCTTCAGTTTTGGGAACATTGCCATAATTTATTTAACCATTGACATTTTTTCCACTATAAATACATATACATTTATTACAGAAAATTTGGACATTTCATAAAAACCACTGACATACTGATGGACGCTTATGTTTTTACAATGTTTCAGTTATTAACAAAGCTATCATGCATGTTTATGCACACGTGTTAGTTCTCTCTGTGATACTAGAGAAGTGGCATTTCAGGTTTTATTTTAGGAATGAATATTTCAGTGAGAAAAGTGTTACTTTACGGGGAAAGAGTTACTTTACTACTCTCCCTAGGTTTTTCAGGTACTGTTCAAGTTAAACTGATTGATTGTGTTCTGGCTCATTTATAAATTTATATTCTTTCTCTTTCTTCTTTTTTTAGATGCCCCCCACTGATGGATATCACTCTACACATGTTGAATGGTTATCTTCTTGCATCCAAAGCCTATCTCAGTGCTCATCTGAAGGAAACGGCGGAGCAGGATAGACCTGCCCAGAATAATACATTAGGTTTAATTGGACAAACGGATGGCCCAGAAGTTACTAGAGAAGAATTGAAAAATGCTTTATTGGCTGCTCAGGTAATAAAGTAAAATTCAGTCAAAAAGGGCAAGAGCTTTACTGTTAATATAGTCGGTTAAGGAGAAAGCATATTACGCTCTCTAGGTACAAAAGGTGATATATTTTACATTCCTTTTGTTAAGGAACATGCTATAATGGTGTCACCTTTACTTCTAAATATCACATGGACTGTATTAATAAAATCAGGAATAATCTTTATGACACTAGTTTAATAGTCATTTAAATAAGATTTACATTTTAACAAAATACAAGACTTTTTTCCTTAAAATCAAATTGTGGAAAAAAATTAAATGATGGAGACAAACAGAACAAGAAGTATATATACAGTGTTAGAGAAATGTAGGTTTATAGTTGTGAGTACATGAAAGTTTATGCTTGTGTTATTATACATTAATTATTATATTATTTTCCATATGAATAATTGCAAACTTACTTTTGCCCACCCCTGTATATAGTAAAATGTCAAGCAGTGTTAAATACTAAGACAACATAAGCAATTCAATTTTATATTTAGAAGTTTTCCAAAACTGTAGAATTTTCTGAAGCTTTAAGTAGCCATTTTGAAAAATAAAGATGTGAGATGATTAAATGTTAAGAAATCTGAGGTCTGCAAAGTAGAAATATTTTCTTAGTTTAAAATACATTTTCCGAAATCTTTTCAGTGGCAATAAGAGGAATTAGAGTAATAATGTCGGTCCATAATCCCTTATCTGTAATCCCTATATTTGGATACAGGGAGATCCAAAAGGCTATGAAATCTGAAGCATTTTGAGGGGCAGGGGACCTTGATCAGAAGGAGTTGGGCCCTCTGAAGCAATTTTTTGGTAATTCAGTTGGCAGAAAAACCTGACCTGATATGACCTCATTTGTAACAAAACTTGACCTGAATTGATGTGAACCTATTTATGGCCTTTATCCCACTTAATGTGAATATTGGTATATTTTGCTGCAGAAATATTAATATGTGACTATAATGTGCTACCCTAGTCTCTGCTGGAGGTATTATATAATATTTCAGTAAAAATAATTCTGAAATGACCCACGGACATGGACAACAGGGTGGGGATTGCCTGTGGGAGGGGAAGTGGGCAGGGCAGGGGAGAGCAATAGGGGAAAATTGGGACAAACTGTAATAACATTCTCAAAAAAAATTCTGAGTTCTAAAATAAGTCTGGCCTTCAGAATTTCAAATAAGGCATTGAGAATCATAATAGGTACCATTTATATAATGCTTACTGTATGAGGGGTGCTATTCTAGGTTCTTTATTTATATTAACCCACTTAATCTTTACAACCAACCTGCAAAGTATGGCGTATTATCATCACTTTTAAAGGAGTATGAGACCCACAGAGGAGTGGCTTGCTCAAGGCTATGCATCTAGTAAGTGGCAGAGCTGGGATTCAAGCCTGGGCAGTCTGGCCAGAGTCTACAAACATAAACAAAACAAAATAATAACAACTCAAAACTGAAACCCCTCAAACCAAAATGATGATTATAAAATAAAACTAACTTTACTTTATAAATGATTATAATGTAAGCCTAACCTTACATTATAATCATGTTCTTAATCAGATGAAGGAATTGTTTTCTTCAGGCAATGCCTGTTTTTCAGAGATGCAAGTCATATGTTCATATTTTTTTAAAGCTCCTTCCTGCTAGATGAGCGCGATTATAGCGCTTCTTTACATGTAGGGGTGTCAAGTAAATCTCCCTTAAGAAACTGCTATTCTATGAAATGACAGCCCAGCTTGCAGACTGAGAGACACTGAGTTGTACAGGTGGAGTGGATGGTAAGGTGGAATCTTTCCTTGCAAAACCAGGGCCTTGAAGAGCCCGTTTTCAGATTTAAAGGAAAAAGAGCTTTGGGAAGTAACTTATAGGTGTAAATTATTAATCACTATCTTTAGAGGAATTAATTAGTTTGTAGTCAGTTGAAAAAAAGAGGGCATTACAGGATAGGATCCTGGGAGAAGTAGGAATTTAGGAGGAAGGAAAGGAGATTTTGGTAGAAGTCGTATTTTGCCTAGGGCCTGTTTCGGATGTCACTGAATCAGAAAATTCTTATAGTAGATGTTCTTAAACTAGAGTTCGTGGATCTGCCTTAGGGATCTGTGACCAGCCTGAAATTATGCAATATGTTTTTTTTACATATGTTAACTTTTATAGGGAGAGTTTGTATAGTTTTCTTCAGATTTTTAAAAGTATTTATAGCCTTAAAAATGGTGAGGTCCACTGATGTTTTTTGGGACACTTCTAGGGGAAAAAAGTGAGCACAGTGAGATTGCTCACTTTTTTTCCCTAGAAGTAACTTATTTTTATCCCTTGTTTATGTGAAAACAAAATCAGATTTATTTTCAAACAAACATCTCAGAAACTTTTAAAAAAAATTTATTGATTTTTGTGGGGGGGAGAGAGAAATACTGATTTTTTTTTCTTCCACCATTTATTTTTGCATTCATTGGTTGATTTTCATATGTGCCCCAGTCCGGGACTGGCCCTGCAACCTTGGCATATGGGGATGATGACAGTGCTCTAACCAACTGAGCTGCTAGGCCAGGGCCTCTCAGAAACATCTTAAATTCGCTGTTTTATTTGCTTGTAGGATAGTGCAGCTGTCCAGATTCTCTTGGAGATTTGTTTACCTACTGAAGAGGAAAAGGCAAAGGGTGCCCATCCAGACAGCTTGCTAAGAAATGTTCAAAGCGTCATTACTACCAGCACTCCAAATAAGGGAATGGAGGAAGGAGAAGACAATTTGCTTTGTAACCTTCGAGAAGTTCAGTGCCTTATCTGTTGTCTGTTGCACCAAATGTACATTGCGGATCCCAACATTGCTAAGCTTGTTCACTTTCAGGTCTGTTTTCAAAGAATGATGCTTTATGGTTGAACTTCTTTTGGGGGTTGGGGTTTGAATACTAAATAGAGACTGTTTAGAAACTGGCGATGACACAGATAGTCATATTCCTCTGCAATATGGAGAAAAATGAAAATTTTTAGATTTTATTTTAGCCTGCTAAAATGTTCAGGTAATTAATCTATCCTAGTGCATCAGAAAGGTAAAATGCCAGGATGGAGGTAGGGCACCGTGGCCTTCTGAGCAACTTTTACATAGAGGAAGTGAAACCTTCCTTTACATTTTTATCTGTATTTGATTTACACTGATTTTATTTATAACTTTTCCCTTCTTTCTTGTTGAGATAGGGTTATCCATGTGAACTTTTGCCTCTGACGGTCGCAGGTATTCCATCTATGCACATCTGTCTGGATTTCATACCTGAGCTTATTGCACAGCCAGAACTTGAAAAACAGGTAATGAGCATTTAGAGCTTTAAGAAAATTTTGATCTCTCTCCAGTCTTTCTAGTTACGTAAAGCATTTAAAAAAATTTTTTTAAGTTTTCTTTTATAAAGATTTTATTTATTTACTTATTTTTAGAGAGAGGGGAAAGGAGTGAGAAAGAGAGGAAGAGAAACATCAATGTGTGGTTGCCTGTTGTATGCCCCCAAGTGGGGACCTGGCCCGCAACCCAGGCATGTGCCCAGACTGGGAATTGAACTGGTGACCCTTTGGTTTGCAGGCCAGCACTCAATCCACTGAGCCGCACCAGCCAGGGAACATTTTTATCATTTTTAACACTTAAAGATATTTTTCAGAAACATGTAATATTTGGATTTTGTATTGCAGATATTTGCTATCCAGTTGCTTTCTCATTTGTGTATCCAGTATGCATTACCAAAGTCACTCAGTGTGGCTCGCTTAGCTGTCAACGTCATGGGAACTTTGCTGACAGGTGTGTAGTCAACCAATATCAATGACAAAACTTCCAACATAAAGAAGTACATGTTTTTTCTGGATTTAGTGACACTGTTTTCTGTATGACTAATAGTTTAATTTATGCCATCTTCTAAACTGTCTATTACAAATGTGATTTATAGTGTAGAGATGAATAGGTAGGCAAATTGTATCTTTCATTTTGTGAATGACTATGTATAGATTTATAATAAATAATAAGCTTCCCATACTTTATAAATGGAAATTAAATCTACTTTCTGAATGTAATTATGTCAATAGAAAACAATTACAATCATTACAAATGCTTAGAATTTTAGGAAAATATTATTATATGTATAAAAGAGATAAATATATTAGTTGTTTCCTTAAGTTCTAAAACATACCCTAACAATTTTAACCACCTTCTGGTTTGTAGAGTAAAATGGTATGAAAATAAACTACTTTAAAAGGTATGAACTATAATTCAATTTTTTAAAGTAATGGTTTAGTTAATTTCATATTTTCTCAGGGCTCCCATAATACCCTGTATATTTTTCTTGCCATTGCATTCATCTCATGTTATAATTATTTGTAGCGATTAAGAGCTTGAACTGCCCAAATTCAATCCTAACCCCACCACTAACTGGCTACATGGTCTTGAACAAGTTTATTAAATTCTCTACATTTTATTTAAGAGTTTCCTCATGAAAATAAGTATCATTATAGTACTTTGCTCATTCATAAGATTGTGAGAATTAAATGACATAATGCATGTGATGCGAATATCACAGTGCTTGGGCATAAGGGTTCAAATGTTAGACAATGGTTGACTACTGGATTGTGAGCTCCCTAAGGGGAGGGTCTGGCAGTGCCCTGGAAAACTGAGTATCCTCAGCACGGAGCCGGGTACTTAGTGTATTGTATAGGCCATGCATGTTGAGTTTATACCTATAAAGACAAAAATTCTCTTTCATTCTTTCCAACAGTTTTAACACAGGCTAAGCGATACGCTTTTTTCATGCCAACTCTGCCAAGTTTGGTCTCTTTTTGTCGAGCATTTCCGCCATTGTATGAGGATATTATGTCTTTGCTGATCCAAATAGGGCAAGTCTGTGCCTCTGATGTTGCCACTCAGACAAGAGACATTGATCCAATTATTACACGTAAGTAATAACTTATTTTTCAGACTTGTTTTAGTATCTCAAACAAACAAAACCAAAATCCTTTTTAGATTTCTTGCCTTGATTAATTTTTCTCTATGTTTTTAGGTCTTCAACAAATAAAGGAGAAACCAAGTAGATGGTCTGGAATCTGCAAAGATCCATCTTATAAAAACGGATCCAGGGATATTGGAAGCATGGATCCTGATGTACAGCTGTGTCACTGCATTGAAAGCACAATAATTGAAATAATAAACATGAGTGTTAGCGGAATTTAGAAAAAAAACAACTTTAAAAAAAAAAGGAAGCTGTTTGTTGCATATACCCAATATGAATCTGTGTCTTGTAACAACTCTAAACTGAATGGGAACAGTAATGTCTTGGAATCACTAAAATGACACAATTCAACATGAATACAATTTAGAACTCTTTTGAGAATTATGCTTGCTTGTATTTGATTGGCAGTTCTTTGGATCTAGTTGCTGGTATGTTTCTATTGTACCAGCTGAGCTTTTTTTTTTTTCCTCCTATTGGGGGGTTCATTTAAGAAACTCATTACTGGAAAGTGAATTTGTCCTTGTATTTAACTTTTGAGGTGAAGAAAAACTGCCATGCCTTTAATTTAATTTCTTAAAAAATGAGTTTGTCGGTAGTGTTTTTTTGTTTTGTTTTGTTTTTTAAATCTGTGTGAGCTAGTAACAGTGCGACAATGATGCAATGATGAGAGGGAGAAAAAGGGAGAATTCAGGAAAAATTAGGAATTTAAATACCCAACTAGAAATCTCTAAAGCTTGCAATGCAAGTAATAGTAATGGAGGATAGAATGCCAGCTCTCAAGAAACAGTATTGAGAAGGCTTTAAAAAAGGCAAATAGTTTTTTGTAAATGATTTCCATGGAATTACAGATAAGGATTTTAAGATTTTTACATATTTGCTTCAATTTTTCTAATATGTAAAGCCATATGTTTAAAGAGATACTTGAATAATTTGGGATTTTAAAATACTGGCTTAAAAATGTGTACAGAAACATCTTTGTGCAGAACCTGGAAGGAGGGTCTCATTTAGTTTTTTTAAAATTTATTTTTATAATGCTTTACTAACTTATCTAATGGTCAGAAATACATTGGTACCTATTTAAATTTTAGAGTAATAAAACCCACTGGATTAAAGAACTCTTGGTTTGGCATCAGGATTGTAATTCACATCATAATTTTAGGAGATCTTTGAGTAAGAAAATATATAGTGTTTGGTCCTCAGGAAAAATAAAACAAACAGGAAAATAACATGTTGCTGAAGGATTTTGCAGTCCTTTGTTAGTAACTTCCATTGATTATTAGGTAGATGCATTCAGGTAGTCCATAATACTTTTTTTTTTCCTTAATAAACTATCAAATGTAAAAGGTACTTCTCTTTGCTTTCTGAGATATACCAGGATGACAGACAACCCCCGCTCCCTGCCTTTGGCCCCGACTTGAAACAGACTTCTTCGCTTGTAAAAGAAATTTGGCAGGCTAACAAGAAAGCATGGGTTTTAAGAAATTAAACTTCAGCCTTTTTACTAGCAAATAGTCACATCTCATTTTCCTTCTTTGTAAAATGGGATTACTACTGGCCCTACCTCAAAAGGGTATTATATGAGAACGAATTTGTAGCTGTTTCAAATCATGAAGTGCACAGTATCATAGATGGTAGATGCTTATTATTCAGTAAGTAATTTTTGTGAAAAATAAAAGCATTTAAAACATAAGAATTTTCATATTTTTAAACAAGGCAGTTTTGTAGTCTTTTAAGATCAAATACACCTGCTTCTGTTTTGTTTTTAAACTGAGGCTTTGGGATATTTTGTGTGAGTAGGTAACCTCTAGGAATTCAAAAAGGTTGAAAAATGTTTTCTAACTAAATGCAGTGCACATTCCTGGATCAATTTTCAAAGACTGGTCAACACCTGCTGTGTTAAAATAATAACATATGCTGTTTTTCTTCAGATTTATTGATGATGTAAATAAAATATGTAAATATATTAGTAAATGTTAATATTCATGTATTTTAAGTTAAGGTTATAAAATTTGTCACAATGTGATTTTTTTTATTCAAGTGAAAACAGATGTGTGCAGCTATTTTGAATATTGGTTTATAAACATTCATATTCTCTATCAAATGAACTTGTAGTTTTTTGTTTCATTTCAAGGAACTGGAATCCAAGGCTGTCTGGGTCCAGAGCCTAGGTGGATCTGTTTTTGTTATGCTACATATATCGAATAGCAACACAAGGTTAGAGGCAGTTGAGAGCCTAAGAAATTTGTGTTTTTTTTTTTTAAGAGAGGGAGAGAAACATTAATGTGTAGTTGCTGCCCATGGGCCCTCCGCTGGCGACCTGGCTCACAACCCAGGCATGTGCCCTGACTGAGAATCCAATCTGGGATGTGGCTCTCAGTCCACTGAGCCACACCAGCCAGGTCGAGAGCCTTAGAAATTTGGGAGAGAAAAATCAGAATACTTACCCTGGAGCAGATACTTAAAAGATTTGATACTTAAAAAGTTTGTAAAAGCAGAATAACAATTTAAAAGTATTTTTTAGGGATTATTATAAATTATCCTTTATTCCACTGTCTTAACAGTAAATAAGAGTTTTGTACCTTCCCATCGTCTTTGCTTATATTTTCACATAACCATAATATCTAGTGTTGTTCTTTTTAATTTAACTTTAGATGGAATTTGTAGGCTGTGTAGATTTTATAATTATTTTTATTGGCTTCATAATGATTGAATTGATATACCATAACATCTCCCTAATTACTAGGCTGGGAAGGTCCCCCCGCCCCCCCCCCCCCCCCCCAGTATTACAGTAGACACTGTTACCATTTTTATTTCTTAAGGACTACTTCAGGGTAAACTGAGCCTGAAATTACTAAATTGAAGAGTAGAATTTATTTTTATGACTAAGTTTTCTCATTAGGGAAAATGTAAAATTAAAGGTGAGACAAATCAACTTTCCTTCTGCTCTATTCTGCAGCAAACCTCCCTCACTGAAGTAGTTTCTCGAATTTGAGAAACTCAGGTTTTCCTTTTTTTTTTTAAACTATATGAGCCAAGTTTTGGCTTTACAGAATTTTAAAAGTATTTGGCGAGATCATGATTAACCGCCTACCTTCGAGGAAACTGAAGAGTACTTTGCAAAGAATAAACCGATTTTTAGGAGGGATAAACCTTAATGGAGGTAGAAGTGATCTGGTGCTGGAGGGAGAGACCTCGAGAGCGTTTCTCTGGTTGAATGTGGCATCTCGAAAAGCCTTGATTATTGAGATATTGTAGCCCGTTGTCAACAATCCTTTTCACCTTGTTTGGTTCAGTAGCCCAGCACCTCCCGCCTCTTTCTTTTCGATACTCTGGGTACTCTAATAAAAGTTCGGAAATTTGAATCCAGCGGCAATGAAGAACGCTTAGCGAAGAACTCGGCAAGGCTTACAGGTGTTTCCTCTCCGTTTATCTACAGACCTTAAGAATAAGATTTCTTTTCCAAAGAAACTGACAAACCGGGTAGTCACCGGTTTCAAAAAATCAAAAGGAGAAGCCTCTTCTCTTTTAAATCCTCGGGTTTTGCGCGGAGTCGTTCACTCTTCCCGGGTTTGCCTTTGGTGCCGCCAGTTACTCTGGGTCTATTCTTACTGCGAGGCTTCCATTGGGTGCAGAAGTCTGCTGCCCGGCAAAGCGCTAGGATGGTTGCTTGATTTCTGATCTTGGCGTATGATTGGTTATCTCAGCTCGACCGACGATTGGGTGCTGGGAGTAGAGGGGTGGGAGGCGGGAATTCGTCGGGGAGAGTTGCTGATGAGAACTGGAGGAGAGAAAAAATAAAGCGGCCCCGAGCCCAAGACCTGGCCGGGGGGAGTTGCAGCCGAGCGACGAAGAGCGAGGCTTTGGGACCTTTCCTTGGCGCCAGGGCTCCGCTTTATATGCTCGCCGATATCGGTTTCCTCTGATTCCGTGAATCGGAGCCCGGTCAGCGTTGCTTCGGTTTGCTTCAGACCAGGCAAGTCTGTCTACCGTGGGGAGGACGCGAAGCCTGACACAGGGGCGGTGTCTGCGTTCTCCCAGCCGCCTGGCGGGCTCGTCGGTGTTGGCGGGATCACCAGAGCCTCGGGGATCTCAGCGGGCTGAGGGAGGGGGAAAGCGAGAGGAAGAAAACCTCGAGCGGAGGGAGTCTCTTCACCTGCCTGGAGCCAAGGCCTGGGATTAGACCGGGGACCCGTTCCTACTCTCGGCGGCAGGGGGCGACGGCGGCCGGCGGATCGCTTAAAAAAAATTTTTTTTTTTTAAATTTTTTTCTTTCTTGATTCAATATTTGGGGGAAGCTACCCCGTTGTGAAAGGCTTGTTGCCTCAGTCGGGGCGGGGGAAGTGTTGATTTCTGGGTAATATCTGAGTCACTAGGCCAGCGTTGATTTATTGATCCCGGATAAGGGGTTAGATTCCACCGGATCTCCTTTTCGGAGCTTCAGAGATAAAAATCACAAAATATTGTAACTGGACAATAGGTTAGAATAGTGGTTGTCAATTTCTTTTGGAACACTTTAACCATGGTTAAGGTTATTATTGGCTTCATAATTTATGGAATGGCTGTTTTAACCATATCTCCGCCCCCAGATGGAATTTACCATTTTTTTACACCATTGCAAATAATCCCTCAGTTGATAGCACTGTGTATCATTTCCCCCTCTATTTTCAGATACTTCCTTAGGCTGTATTTCTGGGGATGAGAAATCTATGGGCTTTCTCTTCCAGAAAAAACGCAGTTATGCACAGAAATTTTGGCACGCACCGTGAAGAGATCCCAGTCTCTGAATGACATCCACGGATCCGAGGTTAAGAAGATGCAGACAGTACAGTAGACCACTCCCTCTTCACATCAGTAAATGTGTCAGATACAGTCTGTACATTACCTTATTCTGAACTCGGTGCTTGGCTAATTTGCATAAAAGCCCTATCAGGCAAATCGTGTTATCTCCATTTAACAGACAAAGAATCGGTCGAGGAGGGATTAAGTGATTCACAGAGTGAAATTCAGACTTCGGTTGCCTCACCCCAAAGCCCACTTCTTTCCTTGCTTTTCCATGCTAACATGCTGACCTTTAAGTAAGAATTCGTGAGCGCCCACTAGTGTCTGCCACGGAAACCCCCCCCCACCCTGCGCCTTAAAACAGTTTTTCAATGAAGGATTGTTATAGATGAGGATCTTAGTCAAGAGAAGTGAAGAGACCTGATCAAGGTAACATCTGAGGTGTCACAACCTGATCTAGAACCTCTGTTTCCTAACTCCAGGTCCGCAGCTTTGGGGTTCACATCCAGAGGGGTCAGATTCCGCGACATGCTGTTAACCGCTGTGATTGATAAGACTAGGGCATTCTTTTACTTCCATTTGCTTTATTTATTTATTTATTCCAATTTTTATTTCCAGATTTCTGTCCTCGTGTTGGGTATCTAGTTTTCCTGGAATGGCATTGTTTCAGTATTGATTTTCATTTGTGTTGCAGTTAGGAATCCGAAGTAAACAAGAAAGCATGATGTCTTCAACACGGTCTGAATATACAATTGGTGGGGTGAAGATTAACTTTCCTTGTAAAGCGTATCCATCACAGCTTGCTATGATGAATGCTGTAAGTATTTTTCAGCAGTTATTTCATGTCTTTATTAAGATACATATGCCTATAATCCATGACATATATCGAGTCTATAACAACGTTTATTTTCTCAGATAGTAAATGGATTGAGAATGTTTGCTTGATTCTTTGAAGAACATCTAACCTTTGGAAAAATAATACTGATCTCTGCTAAACTGTATATGTCCATGGTTAGTTAGGAGGCAAAGAAGAACATTCTGAACAACGTTCTCAGCTTATTTGGAACTTACACTCTATGGAATTACTGCTTTCTACAAAGTATTTACAGTCTTTCCATGTAGAATACTCTATTTCTCATATTATTTTTGAGATACTTCAATTATATAGAAAATTAATAAACAAACTTGAAAAAACCCAACTTTCCAGCTTTGTTTTATCTTAATATTTTCCCATATTTATAAGTTGTTTACAAGTAACAGGATTACTAACATCCTGAATTTGTTCTTTTTGTTTCCTGGCAGTGTTTCAATACATTTATTACATATGTATGTATCAACAAACCATATGGAGTATTACTTTACATATTTTTGAACTTTGCACAGTGATACAATACTATACCTATCCTTGTGTAAAACTTTTTTTTCCCTTCTCTTAACATTATTTTTAAGACGTAGCTCTGTGGATTGCTGTGGCCTGACCAGGGGTCAAACCTGCAACCTTCGTGTATTGAAATGATGCTCTAATCAGCTGAGCTACCAGGCTAGGCCCTGCTAAGAACTTTCTTATACATGTTTCTTTGTGTCTGTGAGGAAAAGGTTTTGGGCATATGAGTAGGACTGGACTTGCTGGAGTTGGGTATCTTCAACTTTACTAGAAATTGTTAATTTCTGTGCAAAATGGTATAACAATTTACACTCCCTCTAGCAATGTCCCCCGTTAACTTTTCAGCAACGATGTTAATGTTGTCTAGTTTTAGAAATGATGGTTGGATAATTAAGGCACACATTGCTTTTACTTTATTTTATTTTATTTTTTGTGCTTGATACATTTTTAAGTTCAACATAATTTTAGGGGAAGGTATAAAGAAATAAAGTTTAGATTTCACTAAATACTAGTTCTCCCTTCTGCTATTGCTGTGTTCCCTGAAGTGCAACATTATTTCTCAGTGTTGTATTTGTATGTCTGATGGAGAGAGATCCTAATGAATTAAATTTTTTATTGTTTTTTTTTTTATTGTTTTTGTATCCATAGATTGTCAGAGGATTAAACAGTAAGCAACATTGTTTGTTGGAAAGCCCTACAGGAAGTGGGAAAAGCTTAGCTTTACTTTGTTCTGCTTTAGCATGGCAACAATCTCTTAGTGGTAAGTAGTTGATTGCTGTCTTCAGGTATTTTACCAGGACCTGAAAAGATATAATTAAGTATTTCTCATTCAGAATGATTCATCTATATTCTAGCTAATTTAAATATTCTCTTTTAGGATGTTCCTTTATAATGCTATATACCTTCCAAAAGAGTTTCAGTATGACAAAATATGTTCAATTAATCCCAAAACAATTTTAAACATAATATAGTCCTTTATTTGATAATTCAGATTTTATATAAGAATCTTAGAATGCTAAGAGTTATTTTTATCAAAATAATTATACTTTTTATGTAAAAGACATAAGAGATGGGGCTGTCATGATGCTATAACATATAGGAATATATATATATATATTTTAGTACATCCTTTAATATACTTGCTTATCTGTTCCTTTCTCATAACGTTAAAACATGGCATATATACTAAGAAAACATTCTAGTTGATCTTCCTCTTTGTTTGGATGCCAGATAAGCATTTGTTATAATATTGTTTTCATGAATTTGCATTATTTTCCTTTGCTTTTATTTGCTAACAGATGCCTAGTAACATTTATTTTAATGAAAGACTATCTAATACATATAATGAGGCTAACATAAAATATTGGATACACTTCAGTTACATAATTAGATTGCTTTGAACTAAAGTGTTAGAAGAATTTAAAGTTAACCATGGGTGTACATGTGTATATATATGTATGTGTATGTATATATTTATTTATATATGTATGTATATATAATGTTTTTTAAAAGCAAATATTTGTGTTACTGATAAGACTGTATTCAGTATTAAAAATAAGAAGTAAATATTTATAAGCTTTTGGTTGTCCATTTTGATTTTCACTGATGTTAATCTTTGGGAAAAATGAGATTATCTGTTAATAACTTAAAATTTTAATGAGAGATTCTGGAAAATAGAATTAGCAGTATTTATGTAGTACAGAGAGGAAATAATGTCAGTACCCTTTACAGAAAACAAAATAAATTATTCATCTTTTTTTAATATCTGAATTGTATACTTAAACACATAGACATACAATGTAGACATTACAATTCTGTATTTAAGTAATAAAAACTACCTGTTTTATTTAATATGAATGTTGATCTTAAAATGTATTTTGAATCATGAATCAAAATCAATACATCATGAAACATGTTTCTGTTTGAAATAGAAGTATAATGTGGGAATGATTTAACCCTTATATTTTACATTATTATTTAACATACTGAACTTCCAAATTCTTGATTTAGGGAAATAGCAGTAGTTAATAATGTACTTTAGGTCTTTATTTTAATCCTCCCTGCTTGATATTTTAATAAATCTCAGTTAATATTTAGTCATTGTGACTTTATTACACTTTTATTAGATTTGTATAAATTATATAAATATCATAATAACTTCCCTATGTGTTTCTGGCATAAGTGTTTCTTTCCTGCCCAATTTGTTGCTGCACATAGCTTAACCATCTTGTCCATATTTGCCAGGTACTTTCTTGCTTTTAGCACAGAAAATCTTGCATCCTGGGATACCTCCCAATCCTGGCCAAATTGGGTTGGTTGCTTGCTCTAGCTGCAGAGAAAGATTGATTTTTTACATTTAGAAATATTATAACTAAAGGTTCTTTTTTTTTTTTTTTAGGAAAGCCAATGGATGAAAACTTAAGTAAAAAAGCTGAAGTACCATTGTCATGTTGTTGTACATGCCATTCAAAGGATTTTACAAATGATGACATGAGCCAAGGAACTTCACATCATTTCAATAGTCCCAGTATACCCCCTTCTCAAAGAAATGGCACTTCATCACCTTGGCAAGGTAGTTCATATTTCGCATGGGTCTGTTGGTATCTTAATAGAAGCCTTTTTTATTGCTGTTTTGAGACCTTATTTAGATATATTTGGTTAGCATAATTGATTATGCACTTCCACATATTTTCTATGGAATTATTTTTGTATAATTCATAGAGTGGTCAGAAATCCTTGGGCTATTTTATTCTTTGCTTAACTTTTAATTTATTCAGACATTTTGCTAGCTTAAATTATTTTTTGAAGAAGGCAAGGCAGAAAAAATGATATTCAGAAATTGATGTTATTTGTAGGTAGTATTGTTAATTATATGATAGAATTTTATAAAACATATTAATTTGTATTGTAAGACAAAATCTAATTATCTTCATTTATTCTTGATAAGTTTGCCTGAACTTCTGAAGCTAATATTCTACTGAAAAACACATTAATAACCTCAAGGAGTTTTCTTTTTTTTGCATTTTTTAAATTAATTAATTTATTTTTCCAAATACATTTGTCTCTGCCTTCCCCCGACCATTTCCCCTCCCCGCTCCCCCCTCTCCCTCCCTCAGTCCTTCCCTACTTTGATTTTGTCCATGACTCCTTGCTATATGTTCCTTGACTTGCCCCTTCCTTTCCTTTTCCCCCGCCCACCCGTCCCTCCTTCCCTCTTGTCTCTGTTGGTTTCTTTTCCTTTCAGTGTTGCTGGTCTTATTTTCCTTGCATCTTTGTTTTGTTGGTTAGGGTCTGCTTATAGGTGAGATCATATGGTATTTGTCTTTTGCCCCCTGGCTTATTTCGCTTAGCATAATGCTCTCTAGTTCTATCCATGCTGTTGCGAAATGTAGTAGTTCTTTTTCTCTTTCTGCTGCGTAATATTCCATTGTGTAAATGTACCATAGTTTTTTGATCCAATCATCTACTGATGGGCATTTAGGTTGCTTCCAACACTTGGCTATTGTAAATTGTGCTGCTATGAACATTGGGGTGCATAGGTTCTTTTGAACTGGTGTTTTGGTATTCTTAGGGTATAGTCCCAGCAGGGGAATCACTGGATCAAAAGGCAGTTCCATTTTCAGCTTTTTGAGGAAATTCCACAGTGCTTTCCACAGTGGCCGCACCAGTCTGCATTTCCACCAACAGTGTACTAGTGTTCCCTTTTCTCCACAGCCTCGCCAGCACCTGTTGTTTGTTGATGTGTTTATGATGGCCATTCTGACCGGTGTGAGGTGGTATCTCATTGTGGTTTTGATCTGCATTTCTCTGATGGCTAGTGATGCCGAGCATCCTCTCAAATGCCTCTGGGCCCTCTGTATCTCTTCCTTGGAAAAGCCCAGGTCCTTTGCCCATTTTTTGATTGGATCATTTGTCTTCTTGGAGTGGAGTCGAGTGAGTTCTTTACATATTTTGGAGATCAAACCTCTATCTGATGTATCATTAGCAAATAGATTTTCCCATATGGTTGGCTCCCTTTTCATTTTGCTGATGTTTTCTTTAGCCATAGAGAAGCTTCTTATTTTGATGAGGTCCCACTTGTTTATTCTTTCCTTTATGTCCCTTGCTTTAGGAGACATATCGGTGAAAAAATTGCTGCGGAGGATATCTGAGAGTTTCCTGCCAATGTTCTCCTCTAGGACTTTGATGGTGTTGCGACTTATATTTAAGTCTTTTATCCATCTTGAGTTTATTTTTGAGTATGGTGTCAGCTGATGATCAAATTTCAATTTTTTGCATGTAGCTGTCCAGCTCTCCCAACAGCATTTGTTGAAGAGGCTATTATTACTCCATTTTATACTTCTGCCCCCTTTGTCAAATATTAGTTGCCCATATAGACCTGGGCTTATTTCTGGGCTTTCTATTCTGTTCCACTGGTCTATGGGTCTGTTCTTGTGCCAGTACCAGATTGTTTTGAGTATAGTGGCTTTGTAATATAGTTTGATGTATGGTATTGTGATCCCTCCTACTTTGTTTTTCTTTCTCAAAATTGCTGTGGCTATACGGGGTCGTTTATGGTATCATATAAATTTTTGAAATGTCTGTTCTATTTCGGTGAAATACATCACTGGTATCTTAATAGAGATTGCGTTGAATCTATAAATTGCTTTGGGTAGTATGGACATTTTGATGATATTAATTCTTCCAATTCATGAGCACGGTATATGCTTCTATTTATTTGTGTCTTCCTTAATTTCTTTCTTCAATGTTGTATAGTTTTCTGCGTACAGGTCTTTTACCTCCTTGGTTAAATTTATTGGGTACTTTATTTTTCTTGTTGCTATATCAAATGGTATTTTTTTATTCTGATTTCTTCTTTTTCTATTGCATTGCTGGTGTACAAAAATGCCTTTGATTTCTGAATATTGACTTTGTATCCTGCTGTTTTGCCAAATTCACTTATTAGATTCAAGGAGTTTTCTTTATAGGTTACCATATTCTTTTTGCCGCCTGCTTTGGGAAATCTTCCTTTGTTGTTAGTTTTAGACAGGAACTTTTTTTTTAAAATTTTACTTTATTTTTTAGAGAGAGGGAGGAGAGATGGGAGAAAGGAAGGGGGTGAAGCATATGTGAGAGAAACAGCTATCAGCTCCCTCTCACACGCCCCCTACTGGGGACCTGGCCTGCAACGCAGGCACGTGCCCTGACTGGGAATCCAACCGGCAACCTTTCGGTCCACAGGCTGTTGCCCAATCCACTGAGCCACACCAACCAGGGCAGTTTTTAACAGTTTTAAAATAATGTGTCTTGGAGAAGGCCTTTCGGGATTGAGATAATTAGGTATTCTGTTCGCTTTTTGGATTTGAGTACCCAGTACCTTCCCTAAGTTCGGAAGTTCTCACTGATTATGTAACTAGGTTATCTGCTCCCTTCTCCCTTTCTTCTCCTTTTGGTGTACCTATTATTCTTATATTGCTCTTTTTAATGAGTCAGATAGTTCTTGGAGAGTTTTCTTTCTTTCTTTCTTTCTTTCTTTCTTTCTTTCTTTCTTTCCTTCCTTCCTTCCTTCCTTCCTTCCTTCCTTCCTTCCTTCCTTCCTTCCTTCCTTCCTTCCTTCCTTCCTTCTTTCTTTTTTCCCTCCATTCTCTCTCTCTTTCCATCTGACTCACTTCTAGATTTCTATCTTCAGTACCACTAATTCTTTCCTCTACCTGGTCTGCTCTGTTTCTTAAGTTCTCTAGTTCATTCTGTATCTCATTTATTGAGTTCTTCACTTCTCATTTATTGAGTTCTTCATCTCATTTACTAAGAAACTCCCAGAATTTCTGTTTGGCTCTTTTTTATAGTTTAAATCTCTTTGGTGAAGTTCTCCTTTTGTTCATTGATTTTACTTCTGAGTTTTCTGTCTCTTGTTAGTTTTTTCAGAACTGCAATCCTGAATTCTCTGTCATTTAAACCACAGTCTTCCATGTATTTAAATTTATTTTCTGGAGATAATTCATTTTCTTTCTGAATTCCCTTTTTACCTTAGTTATTCATTGTGCTTGATGGATTATTTCTCTGCCTGGGCATTTGTGGGAATGAATATAGTGGTTTTAAAACTGTGTTCCTATGAGTCTTAGGAAAAAACATGGCTTGTAGGGGGAAGAAGATAGTGGTGGATCAAAGAAGTTTTAGGTCTTTCATCCTATTTTGGAAATTGTAAGCAATAAAAAAATATATATTGTCCTCAGATAAAGCTTGAAAACCAATACTGTGTGGCATAGATTCACTTCTATGTTTATACAGAAAATTTGTTTTCTGAAGACATTATTGGACCTGCCTATTGGGCTTTCTCCCCTAATAGTCTGTAAGTCTTTTAAGGCAGGGGACTGTTTCTTTCATTGCATTTCCATGGTGTCTGGAATTGTATGGACTCAATAAAATAAATGTTTGCTTGTTGAATTTAAGGGAATGCATAGAGAAGAGCGGAGAGAAAGGAAGGTGCTTTTAAAAACACATTTAGCGAAAGGGAGAAACCGATGTATAGGAATAGTTAAGAACAGTTTTATAGACATTAAGGAAAAAGGAAATGTGTTTACGTTCCAAGAAGACAGAGTGTTATGCTTGGCTCTATGCCTAGGGGTTATGCTTATGGATTCTGGAGTCAGACAGCCCGTGTTAGTCACATCCAGGCTCTGCCTCTTGTTAACTATATGCCTTCTTTAAAACCTAGTGTTCAAATTCATAAAATGGGGATAATATTATTTGGTGATTAAGAGGTTGCTGATGAGCTTGAGAATGAGTTTTCAGGGTTGTGAGATTAAAAGGTAGATTATAAATTTGACTATATTTTTAATCCTAATGAACATTGAGAAGCTTAGTAGGAAAAAGACATTGAGACACTAAAGAAAGTTTTTTGTAGAAATGAAATACATTTTCTTGAATCTTTCTGTTCTGTATATGTGCTTATATGTATGTGTATATATACATATACATACGTATATATGTATGTACATATATACGTATGTATATACACACACATATATAAATGTATACATACATACATACATATATATACACATATATATGTGTTTATCCTCACCTGAGGACATGCTTATTGATTTTAGAGACAGGGGAGGGATGGGAGAGAGAGAAAGGGAGAGAAACATCCATGTGACAGAAACATCAATCCGTTGCTTCTTGGATGTGCCCCAACGGGGAACAAACCCACAAGGTAGGCATGTGCCCTGACAGGGAATCAGACCTGTGACCTTTCAGTTTACGGGATGATGTTCCAACCAACTGAGCCACACCAACCAGGGCTTACAGTTTTATTTAAAAAATCACATCATTGGGAGTGGTCTACAAAAGTATAAACCTATTAAATCAAAATTGGACTTGCCTATTGAAAGCATATTCCTCAAAATATTTGCTATATTTTTGTTGAAGTAAACTGAATGATAAAGAAGTGCTTTTAAACATGTTTAGCAATTCATGTTTTTAAATATGTTATTTTCAGAAGTAAGTCTACATCATGATTCCAGTTTTTTCTAGGAAAATTACCTAAGCGTAAGTTATTAATGCTAATTTTTAAAAATTTCCTCTGTAAGGCTCTCCTGAAAAAACTACGCTGGCTGCAAAGTTATCTGCCAAAAAACAAGCATCCATATGCAGAGATGAAAATGATGATTTTCAAAGAGAGAAGAAAAGAATTCGATCCTTAGAAACTACACAGCAGGTAAACAGAGTTTATTGACAGTAAAAGAATCTCCCATTACTCATAGATGAACAAGGTTGTCAAGAATCAATCTAGTCTTCAGTGGCACCATATGTCCAAGAGATAGAGCGATTGGTTGCCTCTCCTATGCCCCACACTGGGGACCCAGGCATGTGCCCTGACTGGGAATTGAACTGGAGACCTTTTGGTTCACAGGCCGGCACTCAATCCACTGAGCCACACTAACCAGGGCAGTGCTTTCTTATATATGAGGAATTTGATAGGAAAATATTTACTTCAGACATTTATTAATAATATAGCTACTTTGTACTTTTTAACTCCTCTGTTGTTTTTATCTAATAGTGGCATATTTTTTCTTTCGCCAAAATACCTTTGATATGAATATTTATGTCATGGATATTTTTGGTATTGATGGTTTTAATATATTTATAAGATTTCCTCTTATTTATTGGGTTTTTAATATCAACAAATGATAAAATATGTTTATTTCTAAAAATTATTGAGAAACCTAAATTACTAAATATTTTAAATGATGTGTACTTTTCATAGATTAATACAATGTTATTTTCATAGAGTTAAGGGCAGTGAGATAGGGAGGCTGGGACTTTAATAGACTTAGTTACAAATAAAAAAGATTGGTAACTAAGTCTATTACTAAAAGATTTGTAATATGTAACAAATTAATAATTTGTGATTATTAATTAACATGTCATTTGTATGTAATTGTATATTAACTGAATATATTTAATATTTTTATTCTACTTAGAGTCTCTAACTTCCATAATTAAACTGTTTTTAGAAATAGAATGAAGTAACTTATTTTTGGAAAAGCACCAATTACAAATGAAGCATGAATCTTTAGAGATTTTCCCCCCCCAAAAATGTGTACATAGAGGTGAATGTTGTGAGGTAGGGCTGAACATACAACATTCATTCCCTGACTTCACTGGATCTCATTTCTTTTAATGTAGGAATGGAATCATCAGTAGAAATGCCACTCCCTCTTATAATTTAAGTAAATAGGGTTTTGGCAAGTAGGAAAAAGCATAGACAGTTTGGAAGGAAAACTTGATGGTATTTATGAAGGAAATTTAGTCAAATACAACTTGGATTATCAGCTATCTAGTAAGTAGTAATAGTAATCAGGTAATTTATCATGGAGGAAATTATAAATACATTTACATTTTTATTCTGAGTCTTTTAATATAGAATGAGGTTTCCATTTTATTTGCTTTTATTTTTCAATTAGATACTTAATTTGGACTTGGCTATAATACATATTTGGTGTTCATATGTTGGAACTATTTTAAGGGAAGACCATTTTTCAGTACTGTCATTTTGACATATCACTAATTAAAGCTATTTTGGTTAGGATTCAAGAGGTATTACTGTGTTCTATTTTATTTAAGTCTATTTATATAATGAGGTGCCTATTTGTGTTTTTAAAAATTATTTGATTATTGCCAGTTAGAAATAGTCATTTTTTTGTAAATGCTGAAAACACACATAGCTATTTTGACCTTAGAGAACAACTAGCCTGTTGAAACTTTTAGTTTACTTTAAACTTTATTTTGATTTTGTGTTTACAGATTAGAAAACGTCATTGTTTTGAAAAGGAAGTACACCATTTGGATACAAAAGTTGCTTCAGGAAAGACCACAAAACTCAGCTCCCCATTAAGAAAGATAAACTCCTTTTCTACACAGAATGTATGTATTTTATGCCATTGTTCAGTTTAAAGGAGAATGTAGAATTTGCTAAATCTATTTTTGAAAAAAGGGGAAGAATACTATATGCAAGCAACAGTATAAAACAACTCACAAGTCCTAAGTGCTATCACATCTCCGCTCTAAAATTACAGAACAGGACCAGAAAGAGATATGAATGTTTTTTGCCTCTTCAAGCAGAGGTGGCCAGCCGGTGGTCTGTGGGTCACTTGTGTCCCAGGATGGCTATGAATACGGCCCAACACAAAATCTTAAATTTACTTAAAACATGAAATTTGTTTTATCATTACATGTTGCAAAGTATTTAATGTGTGGCCCAAGACAGCTCTTCTTCCAGCGTGGCCCCGAGATGCCAAACGGTCGCACACCCCTGTGTGAACTCCACTTCCCTAAAGTTCTTTCAGTGTCAGAGCAGCAGTTCTCAAGAAGCAGCGGCTGGGCAGCGTCATAGTCTTACTGTTTGTATTCATCCATCCGCCCTTCAGCTGTGCGTGTGGTGCTCCTGGAGGGACAGTGGGTCAGGGAGCAGGCGTCTCACTACCCTCCTCTCGCAGGCGCCCGCTGCCTGTGAGGACGGCCTGCAGGGCTTGGCAGCACAGTCGGAGTGAACTGGGCTGGAGGGGAAGGATCTCTGGGGATTCTTGAGATATTTTTCAGGTGCTCTGTGAGGCCAAAAGTATTTTCATAGTAATATTAAGGTGTTTTTTGACTTTTTTTAGTGTCTTGACATTTACACTGATGAGCAGAAGCAGTGTTGGGTAAAGCTGTTGGTGCCTTAGCACAATCAAGATGGTGGCATCAACCTGTATTAACAGTGGTTTTCCTCACCATCAGTAATACACAGTTTAAAAAACAGGTTTTACTTAAGAATGTTCTTGATGAAGCAGTAAAAATTACTGAATTTATCAAATCTTACTGCTGAAGATGTTTAACATTCTGTGTGAGTAAATGAGTGATATAAAACAGTTTTTAAAAAAACTTTAAAAAATTTTATGAAAAAAGTGTTTTCACAAAACACTTTTGCATAGGAGTAGAGTGGTTGAATTGAGGAAAAACGTTGGTAGGATAGTTTGGTTTATGAGCTGAGTTAGCCAGTTTTTTCATGGAACATCATTTTTACTTGAAAGAATGACAGAATAAGGATGGTAATTATTTTGGTTTTTAATAGCTACAGTGATTTTATTTTTTATTACTCTTTTTCTGTTCTTTATTTCGTTTTGAATTTTTCTTTTTTAAAAATAATTTGTATTTTTCAATTAAAATTGACATACAATGTTATATTAGTTTCAGCTGCTGTACAACGCCGTGATTAGGCATTATAAACCTGTGATGTGATCAGCCCGATAAATCTAGAACCCATCTGACACCACACAAAGGTGGGCAAAAGTAGGTTTACATTTGTAATACAAATGAATAATACAGTAATTACTAAATAATACATGAATAAATTCTGTGTTTTGTATACTCAGAACTGTAAACCTCCTCCCCCTTTGTATAGTTATTACAGTATTATACATTATATTCCCTATGCTGTACTTCACAGCCCCATGGCTATTCTGTAGCTACCGATTTGTGCTTCTTAATCCCTTTATGTTTTTCGCCATCTCCGTAACCTCCCCCCACCGCCCCCCGCCCATCTGGCGACTGTCAAAATGTTCTTTGGACCTATGAGTCTGTTTCTTGTCTGCTTGTTCATTTATTTTATTTTTTAGACTGTGCATATACAGGAAGTGAAATCACACGGTATTTTTCTTTCCCTGACTTATTTCACTCAGCACAATGCCATCTAGTTCCATCTATGTTTCAAGATTTCATTCCTTTTTTTTTTTATTTATGGCTAAGTCATATTCCATTGTATGTATGCACTGCTTCTTTGCTGCTTCTCTATTCATTTATCTTATTGATGGACACTTAGGTTGCTTCCGTATTTTGGCTGTTGTAAACAATGCTGCAGTGGACCTAGGTGTGCATGTCTTTTTCAGTTAGTGTTATTATATTTTTTAGATAAGTGCTGAAAAGTGGAATAGCTGGATTATATGATAATTCTATTCTTAATTTTTTGAGGAATCTCCATACTGTTTCCTATAGCAGCTGTACTCTAATTTACATTCCCACCAACAGTGCATGAGGTTTCCCTTATCTCTGTATCTTCTCCAATACTCGTTGTTTGTTGTCTTTTTGATGATAGCCATTCTAACAGGTGCAACCACAGATTTTATTTCAGTGGCTATAGATTAGTTTTCACTTCCATAGTTTTATATATAGTAGTCCTTAACCATTGTTCCAATTTTCAAGGTTTCTGTTATCAGTGGTCAACTGCATTCCAGAAATGGAAAATTCCAGAAACAAATAGTTCATACGGTTTAAATTATGTGCTGTTCTGTGTTCCACTTGGTCCCAACTGGGAACTGGAATGTGAATTTTCCTCTTGTGCATTGTTTTCATGCTGTATCCACTGCCCACCTGTAATCACTTAGTAAATGTCTTGGTTATCAGAATAGTTATTAGTATTTTGAGAAGGAGAGAGTGGGAAAGAAAAAGACCATATTCACAAATTATAGTTGATATATTATATTAGTTACAGGTATACAATGTAGTACTTCGACTCTTGGTATCCTTATGATGTGATCACCATGATAAGTCTATAACCATCTGTCACTGTACAAGGTTATTACCATATTCCTTATGCTGTATCCCTGTGACTTATTTTATAACTGGAAATTTGTGCCTCTTATTCCTCTTCACATTTTTCACCCATCTCCCTGTCTCCCTTCATGCCTGGTAATTTTTTATTGAAGTCCAGATAGTCATGTGTTGCTTAATGATGGGGATATGTTCTGAGAACATCATTAGGCAATTTCATTGTTGTATGAACATCATAACATACACTTAACACAAACCTAGGTGTTAGAGTCTGCTACACACCTAGGCTTTGTGATATAACCTGTCATTCCCAGGCAACAAGCCTGTACGCATGTTGTTGTATAAAATGGTGCAAGATTAAATCAAGCACAGAGAAAATAATGCAATCAGGAGACACAGTAAACGTGACACAGATGAGGTTGTTCCTGGCGTAACATGGCACACTGTTTTTAAAGCAAACATTTTTTATAATTAGGAAAAGTATATAATGATAAAATAATGATAAAAGTATAGTATATATACTAAATACATAAACCATCACATAATGGTTTGTTATCATTAAGTGTGTACTGTGCATAACTGTGTGTGCTATACTTTCATATGGCTGGCAGCACAGTAGTTTTGCTTACGCCAACAATACCACAGAACTGTGGGTAAAGTAATGCTTTCTAAGTTACGATGTCACTAGGCAGTAGGAATTTTTCAGCTCCACTATAACCTTATGGGACTACTGTTGTGTATGTAATCTGCTGGCTGGAATGTTACGCGGCACATGAATGTATAGTGGTTTTTACCTTGTTGGGTGCTGGATGTTATTGTACTGTATTTCTATAAATACTCTTGAGTTTTGTTCTGGAATGCAGTTAAGTTACTTTTAATCAATGTGATCCTTTTGGGTCTTGCTTTCAAGATTTGTTAGGTGGGACTTGAGCTGGCAACCTACGTTAGGTTAGGTAGGTAGGTTAGTTTGAGGCTCAGTAGAATCAGCTCCTTTAGAGTCCTCTACTTACTGCTCTGTGAACTGTGAAGTTTTTCCAGCCTGTCTACTGGGAACAGGTACTATTCCACACCCTATGTGAATGCCTCATCATTTCAAGTGGTTCTTTCCACAATTTTGGATTATTTTGTCATTGGAATGGGCTAATCAATACTCTACCAGATACTTGAGAGGTCTCTGCAAATCTCTGGAGTTCATTTGTGTATCTCTCTCCACTCTGGTGTTTGTCCCTGTGAACTTTAGTCTTCTTGGTTTCCCTGGACTCTCATCAATGTCTCTTGAACTCAGAGGTAACTGGGCTCTATCTGTATTCCCCCTCCCTATGCCGTAGACTGGAAACTCTCTCACGACAATATGCTGAAGCAGTCACAGGGCCTGTCTCATTTGTTTCCTGTCTCTCAGGGATCACTCTTCCTTACCTGATGTCCTGTATCTTAAGAACTATTGTGTTATTTATTCTGTCTGTATTTTTGGTTTTTCAGGTAGGGGGTAAGAAAACACTAACTTCGGGGACAAATTTCAAAAGTCTTTATGTGGCTTATAAAGTTCCTGTTTACCTGTACAATGTTTAGGCCTTTATACACTTTTTGCATTCTTTTGCCCTTTCTCCTTTTCCCCACTCTTTTTTTTTCTGACCATTCTCATAGTTGTGAGGTGATATCTCATTGTGGTTTTGATTCGTACTTACCTGATGATAAATGATATTGAGCATCTTTTCATGTATCTATTGGCCATCTATGGTCTTCTTTGGAAAACTGTATTTAGATCTTCTATACATTTAAAAAAAGATTTTATTTACTTACTTTTAGAGAGAAGGGAAGGAAGGGGAAAAGAGAGGGAGAGAAACATTGATGTGCAAGAGATACATTGATTGATTGCCTCTTACACACCCCCAACTTGGGACCTGGCCTGCAACCCAGGCATGTGGCTCTGATTGGGAATTGAACCAGCGATCTTTGGGTTTGTAGGCCAACACTCAGTCCACTGAGTCAGGGCATTTCTGTACATTTTTAATTGGAATTTTTTTTGCTTTTGCATTGTATGCATTGTTTATATATTTTTTGGATATTAGCCCCTTTATCAGATGTATGATTTGCAAATATCTTTTCCCATTCCGTAGGTTGCCTGTCCATTTGATGATGGTTTCCTTTGCTGTGCAAAAGCTTTTTAGTTTGGTGTAGTAGCCTTGTTCATTTTTGCTTTTGTTGCTTTTGCTTTTTGTGTCAGTAAAAAAAAAAAATCAATAAGATCTATGCCAACAACCTTACTACCTATGTTTTCTTCTAGGATTTTTGTGATATTAGGTCTTACATTCCTTAATGAATGTTGAGTTAATTTTTGG